ACCAAATTGAAATCGGTTAAGTTTTTTGAAAGTTCTAATTTTACGTATTTGAGCGAAAATTTCTAGTGTCCACTATACTTTTAATAATGAGTAAGATAATAAGTATCGCTATATTTTACTAATTATAGTTAATTCAACAAACGAGTGTTAACTTTAGTAGGTAGCTGAACATGTAGAAACAGAGGTCACCTAATCAAAACTACATTCGGTAAAAAAAATCACATCATTAATGTGTATAACATGTTCAGATAATTTTTTACATGTTGAACAAAGAAAAAACACATCAGGGTAATATACAGGGTATGTCACGACGAGCTTACACTATCTTTATATCAAGATTCAGTCGAAAGAAATCCATGAAAATGTGCATGCTCATATTTCAGAATACCATCTCTTTATTCGAAATATTTTCGACAATACGATGTTGCCGCTTCTACTAGAAAGTAGAACATTGATATTTCAAATGGAACACCCTGTATTTTATCGCATTTTTTTTATTCTCCTCAAAGAGCTGATGTTATCAATATATCACAATTGGGATCTATATTTACAACTTTGTGTCGAAACTATTCATTATCGGTTAAAACGACTCACATGTCCCTATCCCAACTTTCGATTTACTATTTACTGATACTTAATCGGAACAGATACAGGGTGGTTCAAGATTCAGAATTCTGATTACCCTGTATCTGTTCCGATTGAATATCAGTTAATAGTAAATCAAAAGTTGAGATAGGGACATGTGAGCCGTTTCGGCCGATAATGAATACTTTCGACACAAACAAATCGTTGAAGAATTCGTTTGAGAGATACAGGGAGTTGAAGTTGAAATTGGAATGATGAAAATTTACAAAAAAAAAGTATATACAGTTCTAATTGTTAAAAAAATAGCAATATTTATTTAAAAGTGCCCACACTGAACAAAAAATCGTAGTAATTAATTTTTGGTAACAGTTTGAGGTTGTAAGAAAATGAATTTCATAACTGTTCCATCAACTTACGCCACACTAGGTTTTTCTTGCGATGTTTCTCCTCGCATTGAGCTTAGATATATTAAGTTAATACAATTTCAAAATGCATTTATTCCTATTGAGAGAACATTCTATCGCAATGAAACTATATAAAGGACTATTTTTGTTAGAAACCTTAACATTTGTGAGTCTCAGAAGAAAAACAATGGTTAATTATTTTCAAAAGAACACCATCAGAGCTTCACCAAATCCAAACTATTTTTTTTTAATTATGATTGCATTTTTCCTAAACTCCTTCTGATTATCGTGAAACGTTTCGAAAATATTCATAAAAATACATCTTCAAAACGGTGTATCTAGTGTATCTATATGTATAGGACACACAGAGAAGTGCATAAAAAAAGGCCAGGACTGTAAGTTTTGAATTATTCGAATTGCTCATTGATTGATGACACAATTTTCCTTTTATCACTTCCAGTTTCACCGGAAACGACCCCAAATTTTCAAATGGGACATCCTGTATTCTATTCCATAGTCCGTTAGGGATTATTATATCATCATGACGAATTCAACGATACCGGGTTTGATAGGGTTATTTCAACCGATTACAAAGATTATGGTGCGATATAGGTGTGACTTCGCAATATCAAAACTTCTCTCTCTGTCACACTCATTGAGCATATGGAAATTTAGAACGCGAATATCTGCGTAATCGTTTGAAATAACGCTACCGCTGTCAAACTCGGTATCGATGAATTCGTTATGATAATCCATAACCGATTATGGAATACAATACAGGGTGTCCCATTTAAAAATCAAAAGTTGGGGTCGTTTCCAGATAAATCAGAAGTGGTAGAAAAAAATTTGTTTCGTCAATTAATGAGCAATTTGATATACTAGCTGCCAATTTTCAAAACCCTCTCATTGAAACGACTTGTATTGTTTAGATTTTATTTAATGATAATGAGATACGAACAGGCAGAAACCCAAAACTGCATTCACTCACTTTACACAGAATACTCTGATGGTTACATTTTACAATGTTAATATCACAATAATGTTAAATATTCAATACCTGAAGATAAGACAAAAATAAATTCCGAATTTAGATCAATCAGACGAAAATATGGTTTCTAATAAGTGTCCTGAACTGACTCAATGATGTAGGTACAATCACGGTACAATGTATATCTACGTTGCTGCAATTAGATGTCAAATACTTGAAAGGTAATTTAGATACTGTCCAAAAAAATACGATTTGAACTGAAATGACAATCTATAGAAATCTTGTAAATCTGAACTCTATATTCACTTGTGTTCGGTGACACATATTTATCGAATACATAGATAATGTATGTACCTACCTACCTATAATTATCTTGATTACTGGCTTTTCCAAGGTAGGCAGACTAATAGGTATAATATAAGACAGCTTTTATTAAGTAGAGTCTGACGCCGCCATATTCAATAACTATGTAGGTATATTCAATATGGTAATAATCATCAATGAATCTCAACCACAAAATGATATTTTACTTCAAATTATCATTATATACAGGGTATCCCGAAATGAGCCTGCCAAACTTCACTAGCGGCTTCTACGATCAAAAAAAGAAGAAAAGATCCAATGAACATGAGTTGAAAAATGTCTCCTAAGGATGGTAAGGCCCCCTGAAATGGGGGCTCCTGAAGATATTTCTTGGATATTTCTTTCCATGACAATGCAGTGAAAATAACAATAATCAAAAATATCATTCAGGAGTCTATAATACATGATGGGATTACATAAAATATTGTTCACTTTTTTGTTTGCATATTTTTCGACAATTTAATCTTGGATTATGAAAATAAACCACACCTCTTCACAGAAAAAAGGTGCTCTTGTTTCGTATTGATCAGATGTATCATTTTCGAGTAAAATCGATTTAAAAATATTGTTACATCTCACATATTATGAATAACATTGCAATAAATCGTAGGGGTTATGAAAAAAAGCACAAAAATTGAAGTGTTTCATCATCATTTTCCTATTTTACTCGTCTCCATGAAATTATTTGCTGAAAAGAAATTTGTATATTTTTTAGAGTCATTTTGAAAATTGGCTAATCGATTTCACTAGTAATACATCTAATCGATACGGAACCAAGAGCACCTTTTTTCCGTAGCGTGCATTTTCATAATCCGAGATTGAATTGTGAAAAAATATGCATACAAAAAACTTTGAGCAATATTTAATATAGCCTCACCCTGTAATATACACTCCTGAATGACATTTTTGAATGATTTTATTTTCACTGCATTGGAAATTTTATCTTTTCTTATAAGAGACATGTTTCGACTTATGTTCATTCGAACTTTTCTTCCTATTTCTGGTCTCAGAAGCAGCTGGTAAAGCTTGGCAGGCTGATTTCGGGACACCCTTTATATTGATATTGATACGCATAACTTATTTCATTAGATTTGTTTCATATCCTAATGGAAATACTGTATGATAATTATGAGGCGAATTCCTCCTGAATTTGGTACTAATAGGAATTTCTAGATGGTTCAAATTCCCCTATTAATTGCGTACACGTGCCTACATTGATTTCAACACAAAGCCTGGTTTGTTAAATTCAAAATATCAACTTGAAAGCTGTAATTTATTAGATTGCAAAATTATGAAAAAACTTGAAGTTTGATTGATGGGTATGGTTCACGCGTACTTAAATTATCAAGATCAGCCGTTTTAGAAAAATTTCGTCTGAAGAAACCACGAAAATATGAGAAAATCAATCCCGCAAACTACCAGTTACACGGAATCGGAATCATCAATATAAGACAAAACTGCGAGACCGTAGGTCTCGCAATTTTTTCATGTTAGTTTTTCTCGTAAAATTAGTATTAGTGATCGTTAGCAAGAGAAATTTACCCGATGAAAAAAAAGCTCTTGAGCTGATGACAAATTTGCTATAATTATTATACCGGGTGGCTACAGAAGTATTGCCTACGGAATAATCTCAGTTATTGTATGAAGTAGGTTTGTGAAATTTGGAGCGTCGATATAATGACATAAGAGCTAGAATTTGAGCATATTGACATGTCGAAGTTAACTTCCGGTCTGACCGGAAGTAACATCAGCTTTCTTATTTTAAATGAAAACCCCTATTTTTTTTCTTTTCGCATTATTCAACATTCAATTCCCTTTCTAATGACATATATCACAAGTTGGTATCTAACCAGAAACTAGATCAGAAAAAATTATTATTGAAATTCACCGAGTAGGCCGTGGAAGCAAAATGAAAGCCAAACATTGAAAAGTTGGTAGTTGGCTATGGAAACCATACGTCACTTGATAACAGTTGCTACTACTGTGCAATACTTCCGTAGCCACCCGCCACCCGGTATATTGTCAAAAAAAAAAGAGATGCAGATTGGATTACTCTGCTGGTATAGCAGACAGTTGGACTCAATTTTAATGAAATAACTACATACATTATCTTGTAGTTAAGAACCCGTCTTCAAGAAATTAAAGACAGGATGTCATTTAGAAAATTGCCCTCTGGGTGAAAAATAGTCTCGTTATTCTCCAGTAAAAGTGAATTTACATAATTTATAATGACATTTACTCATTTGGATGACTTAAATTCTGGGCCCTTATAATGGATAATTTTGTGCTAATGTTACAGTTTTCCTCAATTTCATGTAAATTGGTTTCCCAATCACAGTAGGTCAAAAAAATTGAGTTGTATTAGAATAATACAATATGGGGTTCTGTGAGTTGAAGTTCACTGTATTCGCGATAGAAAATAATCGTACGCCACCTATCGGAGTTCTTGGATATGGTGCGCGTATTCGGCCATTATTATGTATTGAAAATTTCAGAAAAATCACTCAATGCCCTACTATGATTTCTCTATGTCACAACGAGCGAGACGTTGATTCTACATTTTCCCGCTAGACGGTGATGCTGCATATCTTACTTCTTAGTTCATTTTGAGGTTAGCGGTTGGGTTTTATAGGTTAGGAATAGGAAGAGATACTCAAGAGATAGGAGATAGGTCAAGTTTAGATTAGAAATGAGAAAAAATCACATCATCCTATAGAAAGGAATGCCAAAATTGGAACATATTCTATTTATTTCCAGTTCAGCAAAATTGACTTTCACCAATGATAAATCAGTATAATCTCACCTCATTATTGTTCTGAACTCAAGCCTGAAATAAATATTATGCAGGATAAGGCTGTCTAAAATTTCTTGTCTGTTCTGAAAATTGTGTTCAAAATCTTGAATGCATATAATAGTCAATTGCTGTGGAGAAGGCTGCGAATCCCATAGCTCCAACTACACCAGCTTTAACACCAGCTGAAAGAAAATAATAAATAGGTACCTTGGTATATCAACTGGTATGAAAATCTGAGGTTATTCACCTCTCAATCCAATGAGACCCCCTGTGACTGCCCCAGCATAGGTGCCATTCTTCCAATCTGATTTACCTCTTGCCTAAAAATAATCCAACATATAAATTCTGTTGCAATATTTTGTATGGAGACAGTACAGACTCAATGGTGCATTCCACACCTGAAAACAATGCTCCAATCAAGGCAAAGTTTTTCGCATACCCCAGAGTGGTAGTTTTCATTTCCTTGAACACCTGCTTGGCAGTTTGGGGCTCTGCTGAATCAGTGACAGAAGCTGGACCCATGCTGGATGAAAAAAGTCCAATGGCTGCTCCTAATCCATAACCTGGAAGAATTCATCATTCATTTTGGTTGGAATGCTATGATGAATTGAATATATTATTTACCTACTGAGAACAATCTAAAAAAATTATTTACCTACCTACTACACAACTCATGAAGGATTTGAAGAAACAGCTTTCGAAGAAAGATTCTACCATTTTTTCTTCATTTGTTTTGATTTGTACAGGTCCCACACTTTTTGGTATTATTATATTTTCTCTGTACCTAAAGTTGTTCCCAACAAAATATTTTGTTAAGTAATGCCAGTGTTCTGGAGTTAATTGTCCTGATTCTTGAGAATCTGGCATTTTTTACTAATTGAAATCTACACCAGTGAATTAAATAGTTATGTATATTTTTGGGAAAATTGAACCTGGGATATTTTTTACGTCATACTCAGTCTTTCATTCTTGATGTATGTTTGTATAAAAGTAATCTTTTCAAAATTTTGTTGAATGTTAAATTTGAATGTGATGTGATGATGAAACATAACCACAAACTATCTAATCTACATTTTTTAGTTCCCAGGAAGTCTCTTATTTCAGGACAATCATGACATAGTCTTCTTCTGGTTTTTTATAACTATAACTGTCAAATCAGTAATGTCAGTTGACATGTTTTTGAAGGCATGTGTCGCCGTGTCAGTCAATCAGTCATAATTTTAATTTTGTGCAGTTCAAATTTCAATTTGTAAAATCACAAATTTGCAATTTCAACTACAAGTCCTGTTGAAATGACCTATACTGAAGAATATATCAAAAATAAGATTATAAAAGAACTCGAAGCATCTCATGTGGTAAGTACCCTTAACAAAAAAATAATGAATTTGTTGCCATCATAACATAACCTTTGAACCCCCAACTATCGAGTATTGATTGATGATTTGATAGCAGTAAACAGTAAACAGAATTTTCTATATCAACATGCCACATCAGCCGCAAAAACGGTCGAATTATTTTTAGTTGAATATTCGCGGACTATGATGATGACACAAAATACAATTTCTGGTGTGAGAGTAAAGTGATCCAATTCCAATATCCAAATCATGTTTTGCAAAATTAGCTGTGAAACCTGGCTAGTCATATTTGGCACTCTCCTGGCCATACTATTACGGACATGCACCAGTTTGCATTCACATTCTGGTGAAAGCACACCTCCCATGTATGGAGATTATGAAGCACAAAGACACTGGATGGAAATTACTGTCAATTTACCAATCAATCAGTGGTATCAGAACTCTACAGACAACAATTTGGGTTACTGGGGCTTGGACTACCCTCCCCTAACAGCTTATCACATGTATGCTTGTGGAAAAATAGCCGAATTTCTCAATGAAAATTACACCAGACTTCATGACTCCAGGGGTTATGAAAGTGAGGCTCATAAGATCTTCATGCGCTGGACAGTTTTGATATGTGATGTAGTAGTGTACTTGCCTGCTCTTATAGTGTATTATTTCAGTACTGTAGAGAATGAGAATAGTAAAAATATTGAACTTGGAGCAAAGAAGAAAAAACAGAAAGTGCACAAGTCTTTGAATGAAATCAGACCAATGAGTGTTTCACTTTCTACCATACTTGCTCTTCTATACCCTGGCATTATTCTGATAGATCATGGGCATTTTCAGTACAACTGTGTTTCTCTAGGTTTCTTGATTGTAGCCACCACATGTCTTCTGCACAAGCACAACATTTTTGCATCAATTTTTTTCTGTTTAGCTTTGAACTACAAACAAATGGAGCTGTACCATGCTCTGCCATTTTTCTTTTATCTATTGAGTACTTGTGTAGCAAAGCCAGGACAAAATACCATTTGGGGGGTAATGAGGCTGGTCAAGATAGGTCTAACTGTCATAATGGCATTTGGGATCATCTGGTCCCCATTCCTGTACAATTTGGAAGATTTATTGCAAGTGCTTCATAGGCAGTTTCCTTTGGCTAGGGGTGTTTTTGAAGATAAAGTATCAAATATTTGGTGTGCCTTAAACATTGTGTTCAAGTTCAAAACTAGGTTTGACAACCTGGATATGATGAGGGTTTGTCTGTTCTCTACCCTTTTGGCATTGTTTCCTAGCTGTGCTGATCTATTTCTCCGTCCCAATCTAAAAAAATTCGTCTTGGCTCTTATTAATTCTTCCCTGGCGTTTTTCCTGTTTAGTTTCCAAGTACATGAGAAGAGTATTCTTCTGGTAGCCATACCGGTGTTGCTTTATTTCCCTTATTCCCCTTTTCCTTGTTTCTGGTTTCTCTGTATGTCTGTGTTCAGCATGACGCCATTGCTCATAAAAGATAACCTCAATATTGCTGTCATGGCGCTGACTACCATGTATATAGTTTCTTTTCGAGTGTCAGTGGAGCATGCTTATCGTAGCTCTTTAAACACTCAAGATGGACTGATAGAATACTATTGCAGTTTATTGCACTCACTGCTTGACGTAGAGTATAAAAAAACTTCGCGGTATGATTTACTGAAGGTGACTTTCCAACAAATCAGTAAAAATTCTGAAGCAATAAGGACTTTGGTTTTTCATGCTGCTATGTTTATGTCCCTGTTAGGTTGCATTTGCTTGTATTTTGCAAATTTATTGTTGAAACCGCCTGATAGATACCCCGATTTGTATCCTCTTTTGATATCTGTTTACTCTTGTCTGCACTTTCTGGGGTTCTTTTTATATTTCAATGTAAAACAACTTAGGATACCCCAACAATTTGATGAAATCAAACATGTTAAAATTAAGAGTTCATGAATTTTATAGTTTTGTCATTCTGTTTTAGGTAATTAAATACCTACTGTACATTATTGTTATTTGTAAATAAAAAATGTCATGAAATGCTTATTTTCCTGTTTTCCATTTAGACATTATTGTATTCAATAGGGTGTTCTTACCGGCTATCACAGCACAGCCATTGAATTAGAAAATCAAAGTATGAGTGGATTATAAGGTCTTTAAAACAAGCGCGATCTTTTTATTACGACGGCTTAGCCGGAGGGGTTGAAATAAAGCAAGTGTTTTAAAGACTAGTTACCAAGTAATACTATATGCTATTTATTTTTATTGGTACACTTTGAGATCATTAATACTAGTATTATCATTACAAAGGATGGAAATAACAATCTTTTGTAATAACTAATTGTGAAGAATTGTTGATGTGTCATGGAAATGAAAAAAAAAAATAAAATGATTTGAAACTTGAAACACTGAGAAACCATGGACTTCTACCAAAGATTATTTGTTAGTGATATTTTATTTGACGTTACATGGTACTCCTGTCAGATTGATAATTAAAACGTTGACAGACTTCACGTTTCTCAGGTTGTTGGATGTTGCCATGATAACTTAAGAAAACGCGCGTTTTTGAAGGTTGAATTCAAACCTGCTGAGGCATCCTTTAAATAAGCAAAATAGGGTACCAATAAAAACATACATCATCATAACACATCTAACAGAGATAATTAAAAGGGCTTGTTCCTTTGTGTTTGCTCTACCTGCTAAACTTGATTATTTTCTGTCTTTCTCTTTTCACATAATGCCATGAACAGAGACAACTATGGGAAAATAAGCAACTTTTGCAAGTTCAGCAACAAACAAACATAACTAAAGTCATGAGAATATTGCTTGTAATAAATAACTTAACTTACGTTTTATCTTCTTACCTTGGCCATTCTAAGTCAATGAGTAAGTTCATTTTTTTATCTAAGGTCATCTCTTGTTGAAAAATAAACTATCATCTGCTGTCTCCAAACCTAAAAAGAATCCTATTTTTATTTTAGGAAGTTGTAGATGAATCTGATGGATGTGGTGGAAAGTTTTCATGTGTTATAGTTTCGGAAAAATTTAAAGGAAAACCACTTTTACAAAGACATAGGTGAGAAGGATGATAGTACCTATTCCTACTAATTCTAATTATTTATAATCAGATGGATGAAAATTTATATTTACCTTATGCCATTTCATTCAAGGCTAGTTAATTCTGCACTTGAAGAGGAACTGAAGACTATTCACGCTTTTTCTCAAAAAACTTTCACACCTGAACAGTGGGAACAACAAAAGTGAAATGTCAAATGAAACGTCCCAGTCTAGTAGCCAAAGAAGTGCAGGTGAAAAGATCAAATAAAGCCAAAAACTATGTATATGAAAGATGTTTCAATTAACTTACCGTTTATTTTCATTAGATATAGTCGTTTCTGCTCCTGGTAAAGTCATTCTATTCGGCGAACACTCTGTAGTTTACGGTCGTCTAGCTTTGGCAGCAAGCCTAGGCTTGAGGACCAGAGTTGCAATTTCATCCATAAATCACCCAAACACCTTGGAAATCGAGTGCCCTAACCTCACTTCCAAGCTGACATTCAACTTAGAGGTAAATACAAACTGAGACATTAAATCGTGAAGGAATTATACTCTTCATGTTTGCAAGAGTTGCGAAACAAAGCCATTATTTTTCAGACCTTGAACAAGTACCTTTTGAGTCCTACCCTACCCACATATCTAGCACCGGCAGAATTCAGTTGGGAATCCCCCGATGTTGTGCATCATGAAACCCTTCTGGACAGGGTCACGGAGTTCCTTACGGACGTTTCGATCTCGAATACCAGCAACCTGAAACCTTCAGAGATTGTAACTGTCAAATCCATGATGTATCTGATTGCTGGTATTCTAGGATCTGTCAATGTGGAATTGAAACCAGCTGCCATTGTGGTTAGCACAGATTTGGAGATAGGTAAGAAATTGTGAAATTGAAACAGTATTTCAATTTGTAACCCTGTAATATTACGGTTTGAACAAATAAGTATTTGGACTATGAATAAAAACATAGCAGTGTCAAGTTTTTTGTACACTTGGTACTGGCGAATCATTTCACATTACATTTCACGAATAATTAATGAACATAACGAAAAATAATGTGAATTACCTTTCAAAACTACAAACTATACACTTTTAGTATTCACACACAAAACGATTCGAACAAGAAACGCGGCGTTGTCGCTTTTTGAGCAAGCAGTCTGACACAGTATTCGCGATAGAAAATATCACGTTGCCCCATCTGACGGCAGCAACTTGAACACTTCTGAGCGGTTTGTTTTGATGATATAACCAATAAGCACAAACAAAAAACAAATGTGAATCAATGGAAACAAAGTAAACTTGCCGCTTTGACAGCTTTCAAGAACTTCGATAGATGGCGTACGCATATTTTCTATCGCGATTGCAAGAACTGTCAGATGACCGACCCTGGAGGTGAAACAATGAAACACAACCTCACTTTTCTTATTTGTTTACAAGTGATTGAAATATTTTTCCACAATTATTTCGGCATACGAATCGTGTTTTTTCGGCTATTCATTAAATCGTGCATGCCATCACATTGTGCTGTTGTACAATGCAAAAAAAATCAGCGGGAGACGAAGGAATCTGGTTGGTACATTATAATTTAACAGGAAGTACCTACTATAGTCACTCACATATAGTTTTCATTTTTGAAATTTGGTAATTTCTCACGAATTTCCTCACCAATTTGAAATCGGTTTTCACCGATGATTAGCCTAATCTCTCACGAATTTCCTCACCAATTTGAAATCGGTTTTCACCGATGATTAGCCTAATCTCTTGAAAGTTTGTTGTGGCAATATGAAACTTCTGTAATTTCAGATAACATTGCTACAGGGTGATAATTGAATGGGTGTAAAATTGCATAGTGGTCGTCACCTTACCGTTTGAACAGATAATTTTTTTAATTTTTTTTCTCACCTGTATCCTCTTGATTGATGCTTTCTCTCGAAATGTTTTTGGAATTTTCAAATTCAGAGCTTTGATAATTGTGGTATGAATATTCATTCAAAATGATGCATTTTTTCGACGATTAATTGAATGGAATTGGAATTCTCCGAAGAATCAACGTTGTATGTATAGTCGTCGGATATGTGATCGTGTTCGAACACAGAGAATTCTGAAAAAGTCTATACAAAGTGATACAAGAAATACTAAATGATGGAATGGAGAATAACGTAGTCTCCAGTAGATGAAACATAATTTTCTCTGTGTTACTAGTGGAATAATGGAGTGTTACTTCGTCATGAGGATGTCTGGTGTCTGACCTCGAAATGGTTTTGTAATTTCTTGGATCGAAGGTCATATAATGAAAGTACGCATTTTTAATCGTTAAGATAAATTAAAAAATTCCAAAAATTACGATTGTAGTTCCAGAAGTATCAAATTCATATTTATTCTTGACGATGGATATACAAGGTGCGATAAAAAATATGTCCAGATTGTCCCGAGATGAAGAAGGATATGTTTAAACGTGATGAAAATCGCTATGTTCCGAAAAAGAAAAATAGTGTCGGTCATTGTCGAAATTTGTGAAATGTATAAATACAGTAACTTTTCATGAGGTTTATACGAGGAAATATGAAAGAGACTGCAGAATTGACATATATTCGATATAATGTTTTTCATACTAATGAAGTTGAATAAAGTAAGTCCTCATGAGGCTTATACGAGGTAATATGAACGAGACTTCACATATTTGGAATGAACGTCAATCCAATATGCAATTATGATTTTTCGAAGTGAGAAAACATAATATAAACTTGACAGAGAAGTGTATCTTGAAAGGAATTTTAAAAATGTTAAGGAGTTAGTGGTCAATAAAGGATATTTTTGCATATTTTTGTTCACTGAACAGACACGTTTATAATTCTCGTCTACTGACTAGGTTTTTATGTAGAAGGACTAAGTATATACTAAGGATTTCAAGGAAAAAAGTAATCATTCAATTTTCAGGCGCCGGTACAGGTAGTTCGGCTTCTTTCTTAGTATCCATTTCGGCCGCTCTAGTTCAATACATCAAACTGAACAAAAGCTCGGGAAACATTTCGAAAACAGGCTACAGAGAATGTAACTGGAATGACAGCGACCCTAAAAGATTCAGCACCAGAGAGCTGGATATCATCTGCAACTGGGCTTTTTGCGCCGAAAAAATCGTTCACGGAACTCCTTCAGGCTTGGACAACTCCATTTGCACTTACGGTTCAATAGTCGAGTTCCGGAAAGGCTTACAGCCAAAACTACTGGGTATTGAGTGTCCCTTCAAAATCCTTCTCATCAACACCAAGGTAAACAGAGATGCCGGATAATACATGTTATCGCCATCTAGTGGCATATTTCTAAGGTAGGATCACGCGATCACGCCATACACAGCATGACGCTGACTCGTGAAGACCCTTACTTCTACACGTTACACGAGAGTAAACCTAAATCCACCAGTCCTATTCATTGAACTATATACAGGGTGTCCGCTAAAAGGAGGTCAATCCATTAACCATATATTCCTTCTGAATAACATTTTTCATTTTAGCCCTTCATATTCGATATACAGGGTGTCAAAGTTGGAAATAAAAAACTGTTTTCTTCTAATTACTCGCGTATTTAATAAGATATTAATCTCAAAATTGGTACATTACTTCAGCACAAAGAGTTACATCGTGTGAGGAAAACCAAACAGAAAATAACTGTCAACTATTCAAAATACTGGGGGTCAAGTACACACTTACCCCCATATATTTTTGTACGTGCGCTAATGACTTCCTACCTATTTTTCTCCTCATAACTGAGAGAGCTAGGATGAACAGAGTTGATCCTTCCTTAGAATCGTCACTAGATGGCGATAACATGACTAGATCTTCGTGTATTATCCGGTGTCTTCGAGAGCATAGAGTTATCCCAGTTGTCAGCAGACCGAGAGCGGATGATTAGGCTTGGTGGGCCGAAACAGTACGGTCCCGCTCCTGCTGACGATTGGATCTGTTAGTTATGAGATCTAGTTCAAGGTAAACAGAGATCTTGAATATTTATATTTCTACTGGTCACCGACGGAGAAATTCCAGTGTATTCTCTTTTTCTAGGTTGCTAGGGAAACTAAGGCTCTTGTAGCACAAGTTGCCCAACGCCTTGAGAGGTTCCCCGACTTGGTGAAGAATATCTTGAATGCTATGGAAGACGTGGCTTACATTGGCCTTCAGAACATCATGAACGTATCTCGATCTCACGGTTAGTATCTCAATCTAAATTGATGAAATTACTATCATAATGATTGAAGTTGCCACCATTATTGTATTCAAGGCAGAGTAGTGGGCTAAAAACACTTCCTTGTGGTGTACCTGAATATATGCGTTACTTTTTATGAGTTGGCTAATGGTAAACGCCTAGTGGACCCATATGAGTACAGCATTCGTGTAGTATTGTTCATATTGCGCTAATAATCAAGGATTCAACGCCTACAATCATTTTGGAATGTATAACAATATCATTGGTTAGGGTGTCATTCATTTGTTTTTTATGTTAGACTTTTGACATTTGTATCGAAGATATAGTTCCTTAGATAGATTTCAGTTAGGATAAATAATAATGGTTCTCCAAGACATACGGAAGTGGGTATAAATGGACTTCAGCGCTCGACTCACTATGGATCGCCGTTCACATTGCTAAAGGGGATTGTTGGTTTGAACCCGGCCATCGGAAGATCATTTTGATAGTAACTTGCTCGTTTCTTGGTACCCAAGAAGTGGTTCAAAATCCACTAGGAGCTATGTAGTTGTCTAGCACTTCTCAACTACGCATGAACATGCACATTCAGACTTAGGATTTCAACTTTGAAGAAGCAATACACGAACAATATATTCAACTCTTTGATATACAGAGTGACCCGTTTGAAAGCGGGCCACCCCTGTATCTCACGTAATCGTTGGGTAAGGATCCTGAAATTTGCTGGAGCGAGAGATATACCAAAAATGCGCTTTATGACCAAGTGGGGTCATCTTCAGTGATATACACTGCTCGCCAACAGCCATGGAACCACCCCAATTTCCGGAAAATGATATTAGGAGTCAAAATAGGTTGAAAATCACTTCGGATTCGGAATCAGGACGCCCAATTCACTAACTCTTCATATTTTTCCTTGAAAATTTTCAGTTCTGAAAAATTAAATTTTGTCGCACTTTTCATGGAAGCACCCCCGTATCTCACGTAATTGACTTTATCTTTGGACTTTCCGTTCCTCCTGCAAATTTCAGAACCCTACCTCAATAATTACGTGAGATACGGGGGTGCTTCCATGAAAAGTGCGACAAAATTTATTGTTTCAGAACTGAAAATTTTCAAGGAAAAATATGAATAGTTAGTGAATTGGGCGTCCTGATTCCGAATCCGAAGTGATTTTCAACCTATTTTGACTCCTAATATCATTTTCAGGAAATTGGGGTGGTTCCATGGCTGTTGGCGAGCAGTGTATATCACTGAAGATGACCCCACTTGGTCATAGAGTGCATTTTTGGTATACCTCTCACTCCAGCAAATTTCATGATCCTTACCCAACGATTACGTGAGATACAGGGGTGGCCCGCTTTCAAATGGGTCACTCTGTAGATACAACAATATCTGGTACATCAGAGTTCCACAAAGTGACTATATGTTTTCACAAAATTATTATATTATTATTCGTTGGAATACGAAGATGATCCAAAGTATTCTTGGTTGAACAGGGATGTGAAATCTGTTTTGAGTCAGCAATAACCAGTCAGACGTACACTCGACAGGCGTTGAAAAATGTTCTATATCTGTTTTCATTTTTGTTGAGTTACAATATCCGATGGAAATTCGAATAGAGTGATTTGATTTACCGTGTTCTCACAGTTGTAAACTGCACAAACTTGCATCTTTCTCCTAATTCTCTCAATTTGTCCCACCCCACCCTGCAGAATAATATACATGAATACTTTTCCCAGTACAACACGCTGTACCCATATGGTCACGCTCGGCGTTTACTCAGACAGAAACAAAAGCCACATATTTCAATATAAATCGACATACTTCAATCCTTCCAGGCGACTCCAAGGCAACCCGCGACCACTACGACACCCTGGCCACCCTCTGCTCGATGAACCACCACCTGTTGAGCGCGTTGGGGGTGTCCCACCCTACCCTGGACGACATCGTAAACACGCTGACGCGTCACGGATTGCATGGTAAACTTACCGGGGCAGGGGGTGGGGGGTACGCCATAGCGTTGTTGCCGCCCCTCGAAGAGATCGGAAGGGGGTTGGAGGAGGCGATGAACGAGTTGGCGAGCAAGGGGTTCGGGGTGCAGATGACGGATTTGGGGGGTGAGGGGGTCAGAATTGATTCAGATTCATAGTTGACAGTATTTGGTCGTGCTCATTCATATTATGTTGCAAAATGCTTTTTTTTATTTAATTTACTTTTTACACGTAGTATTAAGATGTATTTTAATTGGCGAGTGGAGAATTTTTTTTCATTTCCTAAATAAAATCATTACTCAAATACTTTTAGATTGTTTTGTATTGTATATTTGTTTACATTTACATATATGATCAATGAAGTACTTTATTATTATTATTAATTAATATATTAATTCACATTAGAGGACATTTGAACCAGTAAATGTGACAACAGAGCGCACGAATTGTGGGCGGTGCCTTGTCAGTTCACAGCATTCAGCACATTGTTGCCAAGTCTTCAGCAGTCATATATTTTGTTATGGGGTATAAGTAATATTTGGACATGCTGGTTGCTCGAAAAAAGTCAAAAATTAAGTATAGTATCATTGCTCCTCCTATTATGTTTAATCTCGTGTTTTATTCAACGACAGGACTCAAAAAATTTTTTGATAACTTGATCATAATAATACAAACAAATAATTGTTTCAAGAGTTGTAGAATCGCATTTTCCGTACGAAATGGAAAGATTTCATCATCAATCAAATGAAAATCGAGAGATAACTTCAGGGTAAGGACAATGGACCACAGATTGAAAAAAATCGAGTTGATCAACCGCTAAGGTAATTTTTTAGGTTGAGATTGAAATCCGTGTGTAATAGAAAAAAGTACAGCCAGCCAGAGAGAAAGAACGAGAGGAAAGAGAGAGAAACATAATTGGGTCTTTTCCTTCTGCCCAGGGCCCCAACGTTAATTTATGAGGAATTTATGTTAGTAACGCAATTAAGGAAATCATTTCAACCACAATATAATGGTTAGTGACATAAAACGGGAAAATCCTTCTTAACTTTTATAGGTTAGAATAGTCCTCGCATTATTTGTACACCAATATAAAATTTTCATTATTTCACGTGAGAATCATTTCTAGTTTTAGTAGCTGTTCACTAAGACTGCAGAATTTGAATAAATCCGCCCATTATCAATACAAAAATAAACCGTTTAATAGTACAAAACTAACCAACAACATGGCATGAAATAATTTAAGAAATGCAATTTCAATACTTCACTCTGAATCATCGGAATCATGTGATTTATTCTTCCTCCTGTTCGAGGGCTTCTTCTTCGTTCTCGGTCGTTTCTTCACGGACTTTGGACGAGGAGGAGGTGGCATCAATCCGTTCTCGTTCAGCTCGAAAACGGACTTGATCAGGTTGTCCAATTCCGTAACGATCGGCTGAAATGACAACAAGATGGAAATTTCGCAATGGGCTTATATATCACAAAAAAAATTATTTCATAATTCGATAGAACTCACCCAAACTAGCTCACCACCGCAAACCGTTTCTTGCTGTGAGCTCCCTACGTTTTATAAACAATTATTGAAATCCCCGATTTTTCGGACCTCTGAAAACGAGGCGATGATGTGACGTCAAAACCCTAATACTGAAACAAGACTATTCCAGACAGAGATGAATGATACATGATTTCTGACAGAGTGAATCAGCGCGAGATCACAGTTGAAAGAATTAATATATCAGTTGCCTCAGTCTCCGTCGGGCGTTTGGTATTTTCTCTTAACTATGGCGAGATGTGGTTTCTACGTCATAAGAGGGTCCGTTTTCAGAAGGTACTATTATTTATGTCCAAAAATTAAACATTCCAGTTAATTTTCCGATCGAATTATGTCGTCAATCATTATTCATGTATAAAAGGATCATTATAAACATAGTTTGAGTTAAAAATTCGAGGTCACTCTCCAGACTCATTGAAACAGAAAAATACGATAGATCATTGAAATAATATATGTCGCTTCCTTATTGTTTCCAATGCTGTTTTCTTAGTTGGAATCCATAGGTTTTCATTCAGAACGACAATGGTTGAACCAACCCGACTTTTTAACGACCCGTCCGTCATGAGTTTCTCTTTGTTAGCATTTTCAAGAAAGAGTTCATCTGAATTTCAATCCCCTCTAGATGATGCGAACCTAGTTATGCTTCAAAAAACAATTCTTACCTTGAGATCTGCTCTTCCCGCTTGCGGCTTATTGCAAGTCTGCATGATCGTCCTGAAATTGCCGTAAATATCCTCGTCGTGCAACAGGTGTTTGTACGTCGGAAATTCGTCTATCAGCTTCTTCAACGCCTTGTCGTTGTACTTGACCAGGGTGAGACAGAACGAGATGTTCTTGTGATGGCGATTGTCTTCTGTCAGCTTGAATTTGCCGCAAAACCTGGCGACGATGTGTTCCATGTGTTTGGCGTTATCCATGAGGTCGAACAAGAGCCTGAAAATTTCAGGTTCGAATTTCGCATAGTTTCGGTAGATGTGGCGCAGTCGGTAGGAATCAAAACGGTTTTTTTATTGTACCAGTATTTCAACTGATGAAGCTACTGTGTTAGCGAAACATGTCGTGTGTTTGAGAATTTTGTGGAAATCTCATCGTTTGTGGAGTTTTTACATTTGCTATGGATTTCCATCAAGTAACGGCCGAGTCAATTCATAATTTTATATGTTTATCGAAATCGTTTTTTGTTATTAATAAAGTTGTTAAGTTATGAAGAACGGCTCCATTCAAGTTCAAATTGCGGAAAAAGGTTCGTTATGCAATTAACCAATAAACAAATACAAGAATTGTATAATTTGTATATTTTCATGCAGTTAGCTTGAAGTGGCGGGATATGTATTCCGATATTCTCTTCGGCTTCGTATGCCTCTCCACTTCGTGCGTAATATACTTTTTACAACTCTTGTTATGTAATATACTATTATATTTAGAAATAACACTATCAACACCATCCACCTTGGAATGTTTTCATTGAAGGAAAATTACAACCAGTATTATATAGATCAGTAGATTCATCATCCATCTTGAAACTTACCCTCAACTTTGCATTAAGTTGTTATATACACTGCTAAACAGTGAGGACATAAAAAGTTCTCCACCCCTCAAACTTTTGCACGGAACAAGCTAGCGAGACCGGTTGAAATTCGGGTAAAAAGGTTACCTCTTTCACTACTTTTTGGCATGAAAATGGTTGTGGTCACGTGGCACTAGTGTGAGAAGGGCACCTTCCACTTATATTTTTCAAATGTAAAGGGGGGTCACGTGGTACTTTGTTTTGAAGGCTTTTCAATTATCTTTCCAACACCGCCTCGTTTATGCAAATTAGCCGAGCCGAGCCGTTCCAAACTGAAGTTTGATTCAAATATTTCACAAATATTATTGCAAATGATTCCAAAAACTAGCGAAATAGAATCAGAATTCCTTTTATAGACGATAAAAAATGTCTTGTTCACCTTATCCTAGTTCCAAAACTGACACTAGAGGTCGGTCACTTCGTGATTGTTGCGAATCGGGATCTAATATCAATGCAGGAAACGAGACATTGAAAAGTGGCGCAGTCGGTAGGAATCGGAATCACTAACCCAAAAAGTGGCGCAGATATTCACTTACTTCATTGTACATCGACGGACTCCTGTTCCATGATGTGCATAAAAATGGCAGGTTAGGTTAGGTTATTCATTTTTTTAATATTCTGGGTAATAGAAATAGATTTCTTGTTCACTTCAATTCAACCTACAAAAGTGCCACTTCGGGGTTGACGATATGATCAACGCAGGAAATGTGACATTTGGAAGTGGCGCAATCGGTAGGAATCACTAATGAAGGAATTGTGACATTGAAAAGTGACGCAGATATTCACTCACTTCATTGTACTTCTGACTCCCTCGTCATCGACCGACTCCTGTCCCATGATGTGCGTGAAAATGTCGGGCAGCGCGTTATACAGGTTGTTCTCTTTGTGGGAGAGCTTGACAAAGAAAGTCTTGCACATCGCTCGCATCTCTGCCTCTTCGTCTGCCAGACACGACGCCATCTCCGGGATGTGGCTGTGCGCTCTGATCATGTCCCGCAGGATCAAACTCGAGAGGGTGTAGAATGTGGCTTTCCTGGTCTGCGGCACAGGGTCCGTCAAGCTATATCGGAAATAATTCGGTTACATTGGTACGAACAGAGAATAGGTTGAGGCATTGTCGTTCTAAATGGAAACCTAGTTAGCAGGCGAAGGTATGATAGTGTCTGTTCGTTGTCCCAAAATTTGCCTGCCTGTCGATGGCGTTACTTTACTGAGAACATGGAGAGCTATTTTTTATTATTTGTCAAAATTGATGATATTAGGTTGAAAATTTCAAACGTCGCCAAAGACGAATTACAATTTTGATTTGATTGTCTAATTTCAAGATGATGTTGCAGGTTTGTTTGTTTGATTTTGGTGTTCCACTATTGTCAATACGGGCGATTTTGCATTGTTTTTTCACTGAGCAGACAATATATTAGTAATATTCTTTCAATCTGAACTAACTGAAATATTTCACTAGAACTGAACTGAATCGTTCTTCCGTTCATTATGTACCTACAATGCATGTCAACTGATTTAGTTCAAGTGGAATGTGTCAGTTCAGAATGAAGGAATATCACATACCTCTCGCATACTAACTAGGTTTTCATTCAGAACGACAATGGTTGAAGAAGCATACCTTTGGAAGATTCTCGGAGTCCAAGGTTCAATCAGATTCGGAAAACGGGTGAGTAGATCAGAAACGTGAATGAGTATGTTGGTTTTGATGTCGGGAAACGGAGTTCTTTCGAAAATCGTGAACACCAACCTAATATGCTTCTTACAGAATTTGCTCGACACCAACATATACCTGAAAAAAAAAAAAAAAAAATCAGCAAGGAGAAATCAGTGACTTCAGTGACTAATTGAACCTCATGAGAGCAGTCGTTCCAGCGAATTGCAACTCTTGGCTCTTATAGACATCTGGACGTTCGCAAACTTGTATTATAGTGGGCGCTAATTTGGCCAAAGCTCCGGAACCTGTGACGATATCGTTTTCCAAAACGTTCAATATGAACTCGGCATCGGTGTCTTCTGCTTGCGCCCCTTCCATAATAGATTCGTCCATCTACAAAACGACACGCTCACGACTGTTTTCCCAACATTATTGTTCGCACAAGAAGGAAAATTCACGATCTTCCCCGTATCTTACAATGTGTATCGACCAAATGGAATTGATTCGATAATGAATAAAAGGGGGCGTGTTCGAAAAAACACTCGCACACGTCTATGATATTTTTTCCTTTTCAGCCAAAAGTTTCCTATACAGGGTGTGTTATGTAACGGCGGCCAATACAAACTTTCCTTTTTCAAATGCAACTCCCTGTATTTTACTCAATGTTTAGCTGTTTCGGAAATATTAAGTGTTTTCAGCCAAATGCGGCCAATACCAACTGTTTCATTTCAAAGCAACACCCTGTATTTTATTCAATTTTTGGATTCTTCAGAAACTTCCAGACATATTTCATCTACAATGTCCTATGTCATATGAATTGGCAAGTGGAACAAGGAGTTACAAATATGAGTTTGTGAGAAAAATAGGTTTTTTTCTGTGACGGGAAAAAAGTTTGGCATTTCATCTCTGTTGGCAGGTTATAAAATGTCAGTTTTCATAAATTACTTTTTCCCGTGGGGAAAACTAGTACTTTTTTTCCGGATATATATCACATATATATATACATTGTTGATGGCTCTTCTTGTGCTATAGTTCCGAAAAACGACCGTCTCCGAGAAAGAACTACAAGTCCTTTTATCTTCCATTCGACTTCGCAGTTACGTATATTACTAAACAAACACTGAATTCGCAATTTTTTTAAATCAAATCATAGAATTAGACTGACAGAAGTGACATCAGATATTTGATTAATTCAAAAGAATGATAAAGATGCCTACAACGCAGGTGTCCCTACTGTTAAAAACTTAAAATTTCACGTCGATAATTTTCAGATTTCAAAATAATGTAATATCTTTTCAATATTGATTCGTCCTTTCTTCTCACAGAAAAAAATAGTGTATTATACACGGGAAAAATATTAGATTTAAGCTCACGGTCACAACACAACCTGGAGCTAAAATCTACTACTTTTTTCCCTTGTATAATAAATGACTATTAGTAAAGTTGGCTGTCATTTTTTAATGGAAGCTAGTTTGATAATGGGCGTGTACACCTTAGTAGAACTTTTAACTCAAACCATGTTTATAATGATCCTTTTATAAATAAATAATGATTGACGGCGTAATTCGATCGAAAATTTAACTGGAATGGTTTATTTTTGGACATAAATAATAGTACCTTCTGAAAACGGACCCTCTTTATGACGTAGAAACCTCATCTCGCCATAGTTGAAAGAAAATACCAAACGCCCGACGGAGACTGAGGCAACTGATATATTAATTCTTTCAACTGTGATCTCGCGCTAATTCAGTCTGTCAGAAATCATTTATCATTTATCTCTGTCTGGAATAGTCATGTTTCAGTATTAGGGTTTTGACGTCACACCATCGCCTCGTTTTCAGAGGTCCGAAAAATCGGGGATTTCAATAATTTTTTATAAAACGTAGGGAGCTCACAGCAAGAAACGGTTTGCGGTGGTGAGCTAGTTTGGGTGAGTTCTATCAAATTATGAAATAAATTTTTTTTGTGATATAAGCCCATTTGATGAATGCGATAGTGACGAATAGTTTAAGTTTGATTTTTTATGATTTACAGCATTTTGCTATCATATCATTTTTTGAAAGACATCTGCATTTATGGGTACATAGGCCCTTCTTCCATTTCCTAACATGTAGGCAATCCTATCGGCACTAGGGTTTGCAATCCCGGAGTAATAATACAATCCTGGGATCCCGAGATTTAGGTATCGGAATTAGAATTTGAAAAAAGTATGGGGTATGCTGTAGATAACGGGATACGGAATCTAATAGGATGTGATATAAAAATTTCATTATCGGTATTTTGGGATTGCAAACTCTAATCGGCACATATCTCCTTCTTCCCCACTACCACTGTGTATCTGCTTAGATATGAGGAATAGAAACAATATAATATATTTTTAGAAAATGTTACTTGACTTCTTCAATCACTTGCTCATTCCATAAGTATTTTTTTTTTCTGTTAAATAGATAATTTTTCTGATATGCATTTAACGAAATTGAAACGACTATAATAATACTGACATTAGTGACAACTATTGGCATGCAGTCAGACAATATGCAATAAATCTGAAAACACTCAATATTATTATTATTATTATTATTATTATTATTATTATTATTATTTTTCCTGAACAGTTCAAGATGGGTATAGGACATTGTACATGAATTCCGTCTAAAATTTAATGAAAAATTAAAAAATTTAATAAATCACAGGGTGTTGCATTTGAAATAAGAAAGTTGGTATTGGCCGCTGTTACATGAAACAACCTGTATATAGTTTTTGTTAGAAAGTATGGGCTCCTTGAAAGTCAAAACTAACAATTACTTCGAATATTCAAAGATAATCCGCAGATTATCTGATTTTTCAGTTGTGTGTTGTGACCACTGTTATCTGCAATAAGTATCAGGACCAGGAAATTGATGTCTCATTTTGATAAAAACAACAATCAGGAATATTCTTGCACTTTGCTTACAGAAATAGAGAATGGTTAGATAGGTCGCATCTTATTTCCCGCGTTTTTCATGCTATGAAATATCGTGAATTTTAATAATTATTTAAAAAATGTACAGAGCTCTGTGAGGAAAAAACGGTTTGCGACAGTGAACTACGTTAGGGTCAGTACTTTGAAAATAATGAAATACATTTTTTCACTGAAACAGGCCCATTCCATGACGTATATGGAACTACCTTGCCCTTTTCGTACACTGTTGGCGTATTTTCCACACATAATTAATATAGACGATTAGCAGTCCAAACATCTTACCGTGACAGTATTCATCAAGGATGCCTCGCTAGCAGTGGTGGCAGAAGATTTCCTCTTTCCACCTTTCTTCTTCGCAACACTCTTGCCAGTCTCCTTTTTGTCCTTTTTCCTCTGATCTCTGATCATCTGTCTACGCTTCAATTCCTTGTATGTAGTGTCATCCATGTATTCCAAATGTTTCAGCGCAATGTAACCTGAAATATAAAGTTGTCAACAAGAAATTGAGCTCATGAAACTCCTTTTTCACCTCCAATTTGACACAACCGTATTACGGCGTAATTTGGGATTCCACTTTCTGGCTCCTCTTTCTGCTTTTTGGCCAATTTGGGGATGATACCCTTCAGTATAGACTCACAAACCACTTCTGGCTTTGTACATAACTAAAAAATAAGTAGTATATTGAAAACTGATATTAAATATACAACTTTTATCCAATTTCCTACCTTATAGACGAAATCTACAGCTCCATACAATGCTTTATGGTAAAATTCCACAGGCTTGAAAAAACATTCAGTCAATATATTCACCAGATCTTTGAAACATTGGTCATCTGCTTTTATTTTGAACGGCGCACTATTACTATTGATATCGACCTTTTCAAATGCGACAGATAACAAGTTGCAACAAGCACATAGAAGAGACATATTTTTTCTTCCCCTACAAAACGACATTGTTATATGTATCAGATATGTATCATACATGTTTCAAATACGTATCAGGCATGTATCAAACATGTACCTGGCATGTATCAAACATGTACCTGACATGTATCAGTTACGTATCTGACTCATAGAGAATATACCTTTCGCCGAATCCGATATTGGTGACCAAACTGATGTTCCGCGAGATTATCGTCTTCCTGCCCATCGCGGCCATCCGGAGCAGCTCCAAAGAGGCGATTTCGTCTTCCTCGGTGACGGACACTCGGCCGGTGACGTACTGCCACAGCATGTCGATGATGGCGTTGTCCATGGTGCCTTTGGAGCACCAGTCCGATATTATTTCGCACAGGTCGTCTATGTTGTTGACAGGTACGGATTTGACCAGTTTTATCAGACGGTTAACGATCGTGACGCAGTGATCTCTGACAGAAAAACACACGCGATATACGTTCTGTGTAACGACCAGTATACCTTGATAAGTTCCAAAAACAACCGATTTCGAAATTTTTCGAACACCTTAAACTCTCTCTAACAGTAACTTTTTCTCTAATCGTCTTTTTGTGTTTCAGAAATCTCGTTAGAGATAGCATAGTCTACGACCCAATAATAGTTGTAGAATAAACTATTCTCTTTCGTTTTTTGATTGATCTTGATACTTACGCCAAATTTGAAGCATCAGAAGTTAAATATATTTTCTTGAAAGCATCCACGACTGCATCTTTTCTTTCTTGTTCATTTCTTTGCATCAGCCTCAACATTGCTAAAAAATTGGTATGAAATGAAATTGTTGCAAGGTTTTCAAGATTGTGTATATACAGGGTGTTCTCGAAGGTGATACCGATAGAAAAAAAAATTCCAATACCTACCTTCTGTCCCTATCCTCCCTAGGAACGCACGATGTTCTTTGAACATTATAGGGATTCCCTTTTCGTGCGCTCCAAGCGATAAAAAAAAATTGGCCCAATTACGGTCCTGGTATATCTACAAAAATTGTTTCAAGTTGTCACGCGACCTATCTGACAATCAGGCGCTATTACTAAGAGCAGAATTCATTTCTTGCTCTCTGCTGTGTCCGATGACCTAACCTAACCTAACCTCACTTTTCTGTGAAACATTGAAAGACAACTGCACTTTTCTTATTTTTTTACACAGAAATCGAAAGATTGAAATAGTTTTTCACAATATTTTGGCATACAAATCGTGTATTCTGGGCTACTCATAAATTCAAGCATGCCATCACATTGTGCTGTTGTACAATGCACAAAAAATGAAGCGAGAGACGAAGGAATATAATTATCCAGGTAAAAATAGTGATCTCACTTCTGCAATAGAAGCTAATACTGCACACGATCATATTTCGTCAGTATGACAGACCAGTCCTCCCGTTTAATTGCATGAATCCAATCTTCTTGCCTTATTGTAGACACTTCAAGAGTATATTTCTATTGGCCTCGATTGCAAAAGGAATTCCAATGAGAAATGACAAAATTTCAATATAAAAACTTATTTTGAATCACAATGTACCTACCTGAAAAATCGGATTTCTTAGTCTCCCGCTACATTTTTTGTGCATTGTACGACAGGTTCATTCGGGTTGCGATTTCAGAACTGTTCAAGAATCGTTCTCGAACTGCGTAGAACTAGTGCGCAGTCGTTTCGAATCCTAGGACTGCTTCAGAACGGTTCACAAATTATGAAAACCCGAACGCGGCAGAAGAGAATCTCTGAGAACATAACCTCTATTCAGAATTTACGAAAAAAACAATAGTTTGGAACCTGTATCTTTATTCGAATGATATTCTGAAGCTTCAAACTCTCCTTTGAGTCTATTCAAAATATCTCAGGAAGCCCTTTGTGGAGGAATGGTGAATATATTCCATCATAGTATTTGCAGCTAGATTTTCAATATTATGTTTTGTCCCTTGTACCTACGTGAATTTCGACACCCACCTGAAATGTTCAATGAATTGTGTATCTGAATATAATGGCAAAGTATCCCCAACATAATCCTCCATTTTTCGGATTATCGAACAACAGTTCGAGAATTAACAGATTAGGCACAATATTTTCAGCAACTTCAGCAAGGAACTCCTCCACCACTGCTTCCTGAAGATGAAGATCTAATACTATACTATCAAATGAATGTACTAACTCCATAATATTGAGGAAATAGTGGAAAGAGCAATAAACAGTTGAATAAACAAAAATATATCATTATTACATTACGCTACAATAGACAGAATCGAAAACTAATGAAATGAGCATGCGCCAGAAATGATCCTAAAACGGTTCATGCTCGAGAGCAGGTACCGATTCTACTGCGCGCAAACTCCTGACAGTTCTAGAACCGTAATAATTCAAACCCGAATGAACATAACAGCACAATGAGATGGCATGCTCGAATTAATGAATAGCCCAAAAAAACACGATTTGTATGCCAAAATATTGTGAATAACTATTTCAATCCTTTGATTTCATTGTAAACAAATAAGAAAAGTGGGGTTGTGTTCAGAAAAGTGAGGTTTTGTTTCAATGTTTTACCTCTAGGGTCGGTCATCGTGCACGCGACCTATACCATCCAGTGACTCTAGATGTCTCTATTTATTTCAATGAATTCTGGATCCTTGAGAACACCCTCCACATGTTTTTTTCAAATGAAAACAGTGATTTCACCCACCCAATATGCCATCCGTGGCCCTATCGATGTTGAAATGGTAAGCGGCGATGAAAAATTCGATAGCCTCGTGCATATCGGCTATGGAAGTGGTCTCCAACAGTTCCTTCATCACGTCCAGAGATGCGTCCAAGACTTGCAGGAAACTGACGCAGTTCTCCAAGAAGTCCACCTGCTTCGACAGGGAGTCCAGCTTATTGAAGTCCTCTTGGGTGACGGTGGCGAACTGCTGATTTTGGATTTGCTCGACGACTTTGGTGACGTCGAAGAATATCGTGTAGAGGATGGTCATGTAGAGGTCAGATTCCTCGGGGGATTCTGATTCTCTGGAGAAAAATATGCGAGTGGACAATTTTTTTTAATTCTTGAATAGAATCATCACTCCAATACGTTTCAATTCTATATTTTTTAAAAATGTTTCGGTCGATTTTTAGGTGCTAAAATCCCGGTAAACTCCTGGAAGGGACCCTTTGTGAAAGACGAGTGAGGCAAAAATATTGTTGAGGCAACCCGCAGTGTTTACGGATACCTTTCTCTTTCTGAAATATTTTCTCGTTTTTTGCTTTTGTTTAAGAGTAAACGTGATTAAATATAAATATTCACTCAGGAAAAAGGATGATGTTGCAATCAATTATCATTAAACAATTATTATTGATTTTTTTATTGACTTAAAAATGAAATTTCATTTTTATTCTAACAGGATTTGGAAGTCAAATGAATACAAAATTGAAATTATATATTTTCATTCAAATGTCACAATATATTGTACAGGGTGAGCGAAGCACAATGTCTCAGCAATATCAGATGAAAAAGAAAAACGATAGAAAAATGTTTAAAAGAGGTTCTTGAATGGTATTGAGTACCTAAGGTCCATTTTGAGTATAATTTTCATAGGTTCCTATTTTTCCATCAGGTCACTGCCTACAAACATATCCCTATTAGAAATTTATAACATACAATTCTCAATACAATATCCTTCTCGAATGGAACACAGTTTTGGTTTCTTTATTGATGAACTTCGAAACTTGGGAGCTGGAAGTCGTAGGCAAATCAAAGTCCATAATATGAGAAACATCTTCCTTAGGACCCAAGTTATGAACGTCCACAGATGCATCCTGAAAATAAATTAATAGTTAGTTTTTAATATTAAAGAGGTGCAAACATACTTTTTTTTCATTATCAATCAACTAGGTACCAATGAGTTTTCTTATTTTCCTGCGATGATCAGCATTTTTTGGTAACAAATGCTTAGGAAATGATAATATACTGGGTACAGCATCTGAATTCAATAACCTAGCAGTACCTGGTATGTCTGAATGAATAATCAGTTGGCAGGAAATGCTCTCTACAAGGCTACGAAATGCCTTAATCCATAATTCAAGAATGTCTGAATGGAAAACTGCAACAAATAATATAGGTATAGTTTCTGAACATATTCTGAGACTGGGAACATTGTACTCCTAACTGATGATCATTTCAAGAACTATATTTTCCAAAAATCTGAACAATATTCAACTTACCCATGCAATGACTATTTCCTTTTGTCTTGCTCGTTCTTGCATCCAAAGGCGACACAATAAATCACCATTGTTTATCAATATGAAATCACAAATCTTCTCAACAATCAGTTCACAGTGTTCACACCAACAAATTCAGTCCTTTTGATAAAAAAAAACGCCAAATGAATAGATATTTCACAAAACCAGAGACAATGAACTTATGTCTGTTTAGATGAGAGAAAAAATCTTAAGTACTTTAATTATTAGATAAAAGAAAACATACACCAATCCACCATTATACAACACGAGTAGGAAAGTAAAAACTGACGCCACGATTTTGTAAGTAGGGACAGACAATAGCACAATTGCCATGTGTTGAAATACGATTGAGAACCCCAGAAATAACTTATTCAATAATCCATAAATACACAATCAAGTATTGGTAATATTCCTAATTAGCAATAAAAATTCAATTGTCTCAAAATGTTGGGAAAGATTATATTTTCAGCCTATGTAATATTCTTCCATATCGTGAGTGTTTTTCGAAAAAAAATATCACCTGTATACAAAATATCTCCTCTCCCCGTTCAATTTTATTATCATCATTAGTCATAGATAAATCATTTGTTCGGAAATTAATCGGTTATCAGGATGATTCAACTTATTAGTCATTCATTCGGCACCAGGTGGTAAATCAAGACAGTCTTATATTAGATGTCATCACGTTCGGTCGAATTTTGTGATCGACATCTTATATACGCGAAAGGAATTACTTATCGTTCCAAACTGAGTGTTCCCTGAAAACTGAGTGATTGTATTGATTCGTTTATGGTGTTTTTGTATTCCTCATTCGATTCTATAATAATAATATCGGGATAGTGTGTTGTTCTAGTGTTTCGTGTTGTTTCATCGAAGCCTAACTTTTTTCACGCTGGTGAGTGCAGAGAAATTCTCTCAATTTTTCCTCATATTTCCGTGTATTCATTCAACTATGTCACGACGAGATTACACTATCTTTAAATCAAAAATCAGTCCGGAGAAATCCATGAAAATGTGCATGCTTATATTTTGGTATACGCTGTTTTCATTTAGAATATGTTCGACAATGCAGTGTTGTCGCTTCTACTAGAAAGTAGTAGCAACATTGATATTTCAAACGGAACACCCTGTATTTTGCCGCATTTCAAGATTCTCCCTGAAGAACTGATTTCATCGATATATCATACTTGGGGTTTATCGAAAATGATTACAGAGATATAGGGTGTTCAAAATCGATATTTTTCAACTCAAGGATTTTTTGTGTAGAAACTATTCATTATCGGTCAAAACGGCTCACATGTCCCCATCTCAACTTTTGTTTCACTATTTACTGATATTCAATCGATACAGATACAGGGTGGTTCAAGATTCAGAATTCTGATCACATGCATATTTTCATGGATTTCTCCCGACTGTTTCTCGATATAGAGATAGTGAAAGCTCGTCGTGACACACCCTGTATGTTTCGTAGCGTTTGTTGTATTTTTCCTAAATCAAGACAGTCTTATATTAGATGTCATCAAGTACGGTCGAATTTTGTGATCGACATTGAAAAATACGCGAAAGGAAATATTTATTGATTAGTTATAAAATTTTGCCCCCTTGATAAAATATGAATAACTTTTTTTCAGCTTTGAACAATTTGAATTCGGTTCACACTGTTCGCTAGACGCTAGCCCAGTCCTTCAGCTATAAGCTCGTACTTCTTTTAAACATGAGGTTCTTCATATAAACTCGCTACAGGGTGTCACCTGAAACTGTGAAAAATTTTTGAATTTTCAAAAGCCTCCCAATGAACGAAAACGATTTTTTTACAACTTTGACAGCAGATTACTTCAAGACATTTCTCGAATTGTCTTATTATCCCTTTCACTTACAGAGTGATATCGAAAAATTAACTTTTAGGTTTTGCAGTCATAACTTTTTTCCTTCTCAACCGATTTTTAAAATCTCAGGCTCATTTTGAAGATGAAACTTCAGATGAAGGGATATCAAAATCAGAATTGACTAAAGATGAACATTGCACAGAGTGTCTCACTTCTAATAGAAGCATCCCTGTATCTTTCGTATTTGTTGAGTTAGGATTCTGGAATTTGCAGGAGCGGTAGATATATACTGAAAGTACACACTATGACCAAGTGGAGTCATCCTCAGTAATATACACTGCTTGCTAACAGCCATGGAACCATCCACAAAAATTAAATAAGCGAGTGTACTAATTTTTGTCATTTCTTAAATAGAATCATCACTTAAATAACTTTCAATTTCATATATGTATTTTTAGAATTTTTTATTCGATTCTAAGGTGCTGAGATCAACAATAATGCCACGGTAATTTTCAAACGGCTAAAAATTTACCGCGAGTAAAAACTGACGTCACGATTTCGTAAGTAGGAACAGACCATAGCACAGTAGCACATTATGTTGAAATATTGATGATATTAGTGATATTAGTAGTAACTATTAGTTATTCAATAATTCATACATTCTCAATGTTGTATTGGTTATATTCCTAATTAGACATAAAAACCAATTGTCTCAAAATATTCCCTCATCTGTTGTGGCTTATTGTTTATAACAAATTTGTGTGAATAATATCATTATATTAATTCACGCTAGAGGATATTTGAGGGTAAACGTGACAACCCGGCGCACGAAACGTGGGCAGTGCCTTATCAGTTCTCAGCATTCAGCACATTGTTGCCAAGTCTTCAACATCAACATGATATTTTGTTATAGGGTACAAGAGATATTCAGACATGCTGGTTGCTCGAAAAGGATGGATGATCTATAATATCATGGCTAACTTTTATTATGTTTTATCTCGTGTTTTATCCAACGACAGGACTCTAATCTTTATGGTAAATTGATTATAATTGGTGACTTGACAACGTTGCTTCATGAGTGGAAATGAAAGATTATTTTTGCAGTATTGCAGTATCATTGCAGAAAAAAGTGTTGTTTATCTGCCTGCCTCGTCTTTATTGAGATAGTCGATGAATTGATGGATTACAAAAATATATCGCGTTCCAGTTATGAATGTTGAAAACAATATCCAGACTTTTCATAGATTCACATTCTATGTAAGTCTCACAATTCAAATTTGAAATTGATACTTAGTTTTAGATCCGAGCAGCATATTGTTTGGCCTTCAAGGTCCTTGATATAATCCACGTAATTGAAAATGTAGAAGATGCCCACTGGAAAAATCACTATTCGGAAAGTAAGCGGATGTGTAGCAATCCAGTTACGAACGTTGGAAATATTATTCAGGAATGTTTCAAATTCAACATCCATATACTTCATCTATTGATATTTATTTTCTGATTTGAATGTCCTTCGATTAATATGTGATGTTTAGTTGCAGATCCGAAAAGCAGTGTTTGATACTTGCCACTCAATCGGAGACAACCATCCAGTCCATACGAACCGAACAGAAGATCCGCAAAGAGAACTGAACAGAGTATACTTTTCAGAATTCAGATCTTAATATTCGTACGGAAGGCGATATATTGATATCCTTTCCAGATTCTCAAGAAAACAGATAAGACAGATATTCACCTTTATGTCTCTATGGAAACACGACAGGTACCCTTACGAGGGGAGAGTATCAGCTCGGCGTTTATAAACCCTCTCTGCAAAGGAGGTAGGCGCATGGTGGGTTAGGTATATACAGTGTTCTTCATCGCAGAGAAAATTGTTGTTTATCTGCCTGTCTCGTCTTCATTGAGATAGTTGTTGATGAATTGATGAATTACAAAAATATATCGCGTTCCAGTTATGAATGTTGAAAACAATATCCAGACTTTTCATAGATTTATATTCTATGTAGGTCTCACGATTCAAATTTGAAATTGATACTCAGTTTTAGATCCGAGCAGCATATTGTTTGGCCTTCAAGGTCCTTAAGATAACCCACGTAATTGAAAATGTGAAAGATGTCTACTGGAAAAAACACTATTCGGAAAGAAAGCGGATATGTAGCAATCTAGTTACGAACGTTGAAAATATTATTCAGGTATGTCTCAGATTCAACATCTATGTATTTCCTCTAATGATATATGAATATATATATATATATATATATTCTGATTTGAATGAACTTTGATTAAAATGTGATGTTTATTTGCAGATTCGAGAAGCAGAGTTTGATACTTGCCACTTAATCGGAGAAAACCATCCAGTAAATACGGACCAAACCGAAGATCCGCAAGGAGAACTGACCAGAGTATACTTTACAGAATTCAGATCATTATATTCATACGGAAGGCGATATATTGATACCCTTTCCAGATTCTCAAGAAAACAGATAAGACAGATATTCACCTTTATGTCTCTATGGAAACACGACAGGTACCCTTACGAGGGGAGAGTATCAACTCGGCGTTTATAAACCCTCTCTGCAAAGGAGGTAGGCGCATAGTGGGTTAGGTATATACAGTGTTCTTCATTGCAGAGAAAATTGTTGTTTATCTGCCTGTCTCGTCTTCATTGAGATAGTTGATGAATTGATAAATTACAAAAATATATCGCGTTCCAGTTATGAATGTTGAAAACAATATCCAGACTTTTCATAGATTTATATTCTATGTAGGTCTCACGATTCAAATTTGACATTGATACTTAGTTTTAGATACGAGCAGCATATTGTTTGGCCTTCAAGGTCCTTAATATAACCAACGTAATTGGAAATGTGAAAGATGTCTACTGGAAAAAACACTATTCGGAAAAAAAGCGGATATGTAGTAATCCAGTTACGGACGTTGAAAATATCATTCAGGTATGTCTCAGATTCAACATCCATGATTCCATGTACTTCATCTAATCACATTTATTTTTAGATATAAATGTACTTCGATTGATATGTGTTTTGTTGCAGATCAGAGAAACAGTATTTGATACTTGCCACTCAATCGGAGAAAACCATCCAGTCCATACGAACCGAACAGAAGATTCACAAAGTGAACTGCCCAGAGCATACTTATGGTGACTAGTTATGTTATATACTTGGTTTGTTATGATTTGATAGTCTGACATTGATGTGACATTTAATAATTACAACTGAAAGTCTTATAATTTATATCAATTGTATCCACAATTTGGTGACCCCGACGTGATATTATGGAATTTTCGGATATGAAGGAAATGCTGACAGAGGACATTAAAAAAACTTATAAGGACCAATTCCACGAAGCCGACTACAGGGGCATTCTTTCAGAGATTTCATCAAGAATCATAGCAAATGATGTTTGGAATACTATTTTTACGAAGAAGATCGATAGACTTGAAGAATTGTGTCACTCTGTTTTTAGTGCGTCCACATAATACACAACTAACGTGTTTGTATACAATATTGAATACTTAGATAATTTACCCTATTTCCCACGCAGTGTATTGTATTCTAGACACCAACGGGCACCAACGTGACAACGCGTCAAAATTTACCTACAAACACACACAAAACTGATTTATCACATCCCAGACATGTTAGACATAGGTTAGGTGGGAGTCTAGAGCCACAAAAAAAATTCTACGTTCGATGGTAGCAAGAAATTTGGCGCTGGTGTACAAAATACACCAGCGCGAGTAATTAAGGGTTAAACAAACTTACATGTATTTCTCCAGAAACTTCGAATCTTTGATAGCTTCCCTGCAAACCTGGAAAGCCTCTTTGAAACTATCATTTTGTATATAAAATCTTATAATATCAGGCACTTGTTCGACAGGCAATTGTTTGTCTTTGCCTCCATTCTCATTTTCTGCAATAAAAGTGTGTATACAGTGTCATTCATAATGTCGGCATCATATGGGAAAAACTTTCAACAATAATTAGTTTCGAAATTCGACTTGGGCGTCAAGTTTTGCATTAAAAAATATGAAAAATGGTCTTCCTGGGGCGGGGTCAAGTGACTTAACGCTTCATGTCAAAAGTTACATTTTTTCGAATTAATCGCTGAAAAAAGGCTTATTTGTTCGATCTTCATAAAAGTTTACGAAGAAAAGTTGTTTCTATTCCAATTTTACATATGTAACTCGAATTTGAACGTTTTATTACAACTTTTAGTTTTTGATATTTTTTTAATTTCTAGGAAATGTCTGTACTAATGAAACAAATTAACACCGACAAAACTTTTTCATTCTAGTAACTTCATCTTGCTACTAACTTTCAATCACTAATTATTGACAAAATTATGATTTTCTTCAGAAAATAATAATCCCCGATTCTAATTTCTGTTATGTTTGATGCAAAGTCTATCATTCAGGAGCGAAATTTATTTAAATTTATTTTTCAAGTACTTAAATGATTTCGGAGGCATCTATCAAAATGTCATCAAACCACTTTTGTCGAATAAGTTACAGTAATTAGAAGAAATCAAGAAACTAAAGTTGACATAGAACGTTCAGATGCGAGACACATGTGTAAAATTGGAATATAAACAACTTTTCTCAATATTTTTTTTTCCAAATTTCAACAAATGAGCCTATTCCGACCGAGTAGGTCTTTTTCCATCTTTTTTGAAGCAAAACGCACGACGGACTACTGACCAAAATGGCAGACTACGGGTACCCGATATCTATGGTAAAGCTAATAGCCTCCTTTCTGCGGGGAAGGCGATGCCAATGTAAAGTTGGCAACGATATCTCTGCAGAGAGGGAGCTAGAAGCAGGAGTACCGCAAGGGGCGATCCTTTCACCACTACTTTTATCCATTTTTACCGCAGATATCCCAAAACCCGCGAACATCTTTAACAAACTCGCACTATACGCCGGCGACACAGCCATAATTGCCAGATCCAGCAACGCAGACATGACAGTACGATACCTAAAAGAACAAATAGACACACTAGAAACCTAGTTTAACAACTGGAAAATAGAAATCAACGCAGAGAGAAAACCAAGCTGTTCTCTTCACTAGACGACGTACCAAACCCACAGGACACGTAACACTAAACGCCACACAGATACCATGGGCAGATGAGGCAAAATATCTAGGGGTATCCCTAGATAACAAACTTACTTTCAGACAACACATCACAACACGACTAAACTTGGGCAAAGCCGCAAGGCAAAACCTACAGCCTCTAATAGGTCGCACAAGCAACATGGCTCTAGAGTTGAAGATGCGCCTAATAAGATTCATTCTACTTCCAATAATTTTGTATGCATCAAGTGCATGGGGCCAATGCGCAGAGATACACAAAAAGCGAATACAGGCATTTCTAAATGTCTCAATAAGAATGGCAGTAAATGCCCCATGGTATATCCCAAATAGATTTATCCATAGGGACCTGAACATAAACCCAGACTACATAGACAACTACATAAGACAACACGCGGAGACTACATTCGGAAGAACAGAAACCCACGAAAACCCGCTACTGCACGACCTGACTAATAGACAAATAAATCAAGACCCGCGCTTCGGAAGAATAAAGTACAGGCGCCCAATCCACCAAATATAAGATAAACAAACGAAAGTAAATTAATATCAATAAAAGTTGCATAATAATCATCAGATAATTAAACAGAAGAGTCTCTGCTTTGATACCCTGTAAAAATGTAAACAAATAATAATAATACATAAACTCAAATTTGCTTCCCATTAGGGTAGGGAACCACCACGCAAAGTCAGGCTAGGAAACACACATTAGACAAAAAGGTTTAAAAGTCGGAGGACTGAAACCAAGTAAGGGGTTTTATAAAACATTATGCAGATTGCCAAATGCATAAGGTTGAAGTCCACTCGTTAGTGAGTGGGGGTGGATGGACATGGGGATGAGGAGCTATCATATAACGTAAGCTAGTTATATGGCGGCACTTGATCCTGGGCATTCAACCTTTCGGGGGGCGTGGTGTGTGGTGTGTGTGAAGCAAAACTAAACGCCTAAGTCGAATTTCAAAATAAATTATTATTTAAATTTTTTCCCATATGATGACAACTTTATGAATCATACTGTATACAAGTGGATATTTGTTTCCAGCATTCTACTTACCATCAGCCTCTAATTCCTCGTGCACCACACTTTTCAGTTTTTCAACTTTGGCATCCCATTGAGATTGCAGTTCCATCAGTTTGTCCATTTTGGGATCTTTGAATTGCTCTTTAGCGATCACCAACATTTTTTTCTTTTCCTCCAGATCCTCTTTCATAGCAGACAAACTTAACTAAGCATAGAAAAAAAACTTGAGTAATAAAAAATGGAGTCAGAAAAAATCACCAAATTATAACCTACATTGGCACTAAATGCATTGCAAGACAAAAATGTTGTTACGCAATTCGCAGCACACTTTCTTGCGAGTGCTCCTTTGTCATACAAGTGCTCAGCAATTTTGCCGAAGACTTCCTGTTGGAATTTCAAAGGTATCGCCGTTTCTTTTTGCATTCTAGCCCATTGTTGGAAAACCTACAACAAAACAACAATCCATGGATAGATGGAATATGACGTTCTATCCCAAAGAGCACCAGATATTCCATTTATCTTCCTATCAAATTCCTTTTGGAATAATGGAATATTCTAGGAATAATCTAGAATATTAGTGGAATATTTCCTAAATATGCAAATGGAAATTCCTCAGATATTCATAGAATATGTTCAAGAGAATATTCAATGGATCTCTAAAATATATTCTAGGAATATTCAGATAATACTCGGAATACTGAAGGGATAATCCAGGAATATGAATAAATGAATGTTCCTGGAATATTCCAATGAACAGAGTTGAATGCCGCAATGAGGCCTTTCCACAGTCCTTATCAGGACTGCTTGACAAACCACAAATATTTTTTTCAATGGAACATCCTGTTCTTTTTTATTTTCATTTTTCGGAATCTGTGAATTTTTGTGATCACAAATATGTATACAGGGTGGCATTGAAATAAGTACAAATATTTCAAACACTGAGAAAGCTCGACGTGTATAGTTCATGCAAAGTCAGTTGGAAAAACCGTTACCACCGATACAACAAGGCCTGCATGCTCCGTGGGTGACGTCACTTAGTGAGGCCTAACCAGCGGCTCAAAACGACAAGCGCTTGTAGCGCTATAAGGCGACCGCGTATTTCGATTTTAGTTTTAGACCATGAGCCGATTTTGCTGTTTTTTGAAGGGCTTCCGGTTAAAAAAGGATGCCAGTCGTCAACTGAGCCCTTCTTCGCATTGTTATTTCGCCGATCACAACACAAAATAAGTAACTTTTCCGCCAATTATTTTGATGAATAAACAACAAAAGAATTCGGGACCGTTTCAAAAACATACGTGAATCACCGATGAATTAACACGAACTGACGCGTTAGTCGACAAGCGATAAAATAAAACACTGGCCTCTCTTGGTGACGTCAAGAGCTGTTTACGTCAGAGTCTGCTGGCCTTGTTGTATCGGTGGTAACGGAAAAACACATAACCGCAAGCCGTCGGTCCCTTTGAAAGTTCAAAGAGTGCGGCAGTGCGGCCCGACATTCGTTTGATGATCTGTTCAACTGACTTCGCATAAACTAGACTATCGAATGACACTAATAAAGAAATTTAGGGATTAAAATAAAATTTCAGGTTAGACTCCTTTTTCACTCAAAGTTCTACACTGTAGCAAATCTGACGTCACCTCTGTTTGATACTTACATCTCTAAAATAGTTATTGGTGTTTATAATATACCATTTCATTGAAAAACATTGGAATGTTCATGAAAAATTTCATGAATATACAGCACAGAATAATCAGTTGGGAATATTCCCGGAAAATTCATACCTGAGTTTTCCCTGAACAAACCAACTAGAATTTTCTGAAATATCCACTTTTGAATATTCCTGCTGGAATATCCCTTGTTCATTATTTTTGAATATAACTGGAATATTTATATTGAAATATTCCATGGATGTTCCAGACGCATGTATATATTCTAGGAGTAGTCGGTGGATATTCGGATATATTTCTTTTTTTTAGCATATTTAGGGAATATTCTAGGAATATCCAGTGCTGTCTGCGAAATTTCAAGTTTTCTCGTATGCTGATACATACCTTAGCCCTCACAAAAACCGAGTTGTCTTCAATGTGCTCGATCAGAATGCCTATGAGCTCGTCTCTGAAGTTTTTCTGTTCCTCGTCAAGCTCGTGACTAGTGAGATTATTCAAAATAACCTCAACCATGACCATTATCACAGATATCCGTAAGCTAGGTGGCTGAAACATTCGACCTGATACGACCTGTGATGCAATTTCAACATTGAAAATGTTTACAATGCATTTTTCGCTCACAGTGTTTCAATTTTTATGTCGTCCTGTATAAATGTAAAGAACGTCTGCCATGTGGACCAATTTCTTAGTAAAAAACAAAAAAGCTACTTCAAGCCGGCTCGATAACTAGAATAAACCATGTCAGGTGTTAGTATGACATTTTACGTTTCTGATGAATTGATATTTTTGTATTTTACGATTCTGACGAATTATCGGTCTGACGAATTACGGTTCACGGTTCCGAATACAGAATATACTATAAACATTTTCAATGTAAAAATAATTCATTGAACAAGTCAGTGGCGGTCCAGGGTGTAGGCTAAGAGTGCACAAAAATCATTCAAGGTCGAATGTTGAAATTTATTGGGGTAGCAAGTATACCAAATTGCGAGCCAAATTGCCTCTCATTGACAAAACAAATGTATTATATCACTTCTGGTTCTACCGTAAGCAACACCAACATTTAATTCTCGGATAGGACGCCCTATATATTCCGACATTTCGATCAGAGGAAGAATCTAATTTGAAAATCAAAAGTTAGGGTTTGCTTCCGGTTAAACCGGAAGTGATAGGAGAAAAATTGTGTTGTCAATAAATGATAATTTTGCTATACCTAGGGTTAACTGTCCCACAGTGAACCGCCGTACACAGTGAAACATTTTCAATTTTACACCCACCACTATTTAAAGAGAAGCGCTGATGTACGGGGCACGATCTATTATGTCTCTATATATCTATCATCAACGGTTTTTTTTCTTCTTTTAGTTCATCCCAGAACACACAGCTAGTGAGATAGTGTTTTGAGGTAGGTGAACAAAAAATTATTATTCTGTTCACGTTATGATTTTTCACTATTTGCTCATTTATTTGGCGATATTAGGTATCGTTGGTTTGAAAATGTCTACTTCAGCATTGAAAAATGTGGAAAATGTTTCAATTAGTATCACGATTATTTTGTTCATAATTTATTCTTTATATTTGTCAAAATTTAACAGTGAACCAGTAAACAGTGAACTATACCCAGTACACAGTGAACCATATGATTATTCAATGTGTATTGACTGGTTCACTGTGTGTACTATAATACTTATCTAGTGAATATCTATGAAAGTAGCGAATTATTCTTCCATTCATCTCACTACTTTTTGTTCAAACTGTCACATATTTCACAGTTTTTGTATTGTTTCGAAAATATATTATTTTTATGTATTCACCTTGTTTTTATACTGGTTCACTGTGAATTCATCAACTGATTCACTGTTTCCATAAGACAGAACACAGTGAACCAATCGACATGTGTCTTTGAAAAAAAATATTATAATTGACTTTGTTGATTTAAACAATATCTGTGGCTGGAATTTTGTTGCCGACACCCTAAAGTACATAGAAAAAATAAATTGATTAATTTTGAATGAAAACTATATCATTAGCGTTCATTATAAACAAAAGTGGTTCACTGTGGGACAGTTTACTACTTGCTAACAACCAAATTTTTTAATTTTTAAATCCTATCTCGAATGATTCAGAAGTAACAGCATTGGCCATTATTCATGCCCACTTCTCTGGATATATAACACAGGCTTGGGGGGAGGGGGGAATGGGAAATTACCCCTCTTACCCCTCCCATAATCTGCCACTGGAACAAGTAGAAGTGCTGATTTTTTTGAGAATGTTACCTACATCATGGTAGAGATAGTTGTTCAGAGAAACAACTTCTGGCATCATCAAATCTGGCATCAGTGCAGCAAGGGAGGATAGAACTGCAGCACAATGCCTAGCACCCTAAAAAGACAGATTTCAATCTGGGCTGAGCAAATTTCTTCTGTGGTGAAGAGAGTTGGTGAATCGTTTGATGAAGAAGATATTTGAATAAATATCGGCAGTCACTTCCAATTCAAAATTTCGTATTTCAAATGGCATCCGGTATGTTTTTTTCTTAAAATAGTGCAAAAATCGGTCTGTTCCAGAAATTTTCATTAGTGATATCAGGATGTTCTGAATATTTGAGTCTGTCAGCCTAGAGTGGAAAGACAAAATTGAAGGGCAAGTGGAAGGAGTTATGTTACAAATATGAGTTTGTGAGAAAAATATATAGGTCTTAGATTTTAAAACCTATAAAGTGCCTTTGCCTTTATTATTTTGTAGTAGAGCATAATATGTGTGTACCTGAAAGAAAAAACAAGACAAAAATGTAATCAGGTAGCAGATTTATATGATTCAGCTTTATATTTATTCCCAGATTTATACCTTACTAATACATGTTCAAATATGAAAATCATATCAACATGATACCATACCAACCTATCTACCTACCTATGATAATATAAGAAACAAAAACTATGAACCTTCATAATATTGGAATATAAATCAATGAAACAAATAGACACAGAAATCAAAGATATTTGATTCCTTATTTATATTATGATGAAACTGAAAACTGAAAAAATCAAATCATTTCAATGCTACAAAAATGAAACAAAAAACAGTTTTACTGGCAGTTTTGTATGCAGTGGCTGATTCATTAAGCATGGGACATCTTTGAACTACACATAGTAAATACTAAAATATTGAGATTTAGCCAAACATAAGTACCTGAATTTTAAATTTTTTCAATAACTTGTAAGCTTTAACAGCATATCTGTAGTTTCAGGTTTTCTGACATGAGGAATAGGAATTTGCAACTTATTTTGTGATTGCTCATGGCAGTATGTTACTTTGATAAATAATATCATATCTTCTTTTCCATCATATCAATTACTTGATACAGTTTATTGATATATTAATCATACTTTATATGGTATGAAAAATGCTTGGAAATAAGGAAATTGGTTGAAATAAAACACAATACCATCTTCAAGCAATACTTTTGTTACCTCCATAAGAAAAAAGTAAGTTACTAACCTGATTATCTTGATGTTTGTCATCTGTCTGTGTTTGCCATTCAGTCAGCTCTTCTACCAGCTCATGCAAAAGGCCCTTATAATTGAACCCCTGCACAAGCTGTTGTATCCCTTTAGGTAGACACTGGGAAATGTGTTCATGGATTTTCACCAACTGAGTGACTCTTATGACAAATGATGTACCATGGTTGTATGATTTAATCAGGTACCCCAGCACATTGAAAATTTCAGTGAATTCTTCCTTTTCTTTTTTGATAGCAGGATTTTGTAAGAAGTCATAGCAAATACCAGAAACTAGGTTTATCAAACTTTCTTCCACTATTTGGTTATCCCATAAAAATGAAATTTCTCTTTGCATGATGTTGTTTAAAATCAAGAGAATACTTTTTTTGTCAACAAGAAACTCTTCATCATTGCATTTCTTTTTTCGGCCTTTAAGAAGTTGGTCATTTTTAAGTGAATGTTTTTGTTCAATCAACAAAATGATCTTTGTGTATATGTACAACAGCATCTTGAGAATGTTGGCATACTTGAGTTTCATTTCATCATTCAAGCTCTCCTTATCTTCCAGTATAAAACCAAGAGCTTTGTTCAGTTCTGTAGCTCCTATAAATTGAATAAATTAATTAATTGGTATTTTATAAATTGAGAAAACAAATGTACCTTTATGCAGATCTTCATAAGCTTTATAAGCAATATCCATTGAAATGCTGTCTCCATGATGAAATACAGAATAGTAAACATCAAAATTACTCAGTATATATTCTGCACCCTCTTCACGTAGCAGTGCCCTGGCATCTAAAACAGCGTTTGAAATGTATGATTATGCAAAAAGACTTGGCATTGGATAATGTTTTACTTTTCAATTCCTGAGATAGTTCTCTTTGCACCAAAACATTTTTCACAGAATATTCATCACTAACACTGGTTTTCAGTAGATCTTCCTTCTTTCCAGGAATTACAAAATTCATGTAAGCCATATTAGTATTTTCGTATCATTCAATATCTGGATAATAATAATAAAAATAAATGGCATACAAAATATAATTTCAATAATTTCGAAAATCCTAACTGAATCACTTCTCTTCTTCTTCTTCTTTTATGTTTCATGATTTTCTGACTCCCAACCTTGAAAATAGCTAAAAACGTCTACCACTGAAAACAAATTATTTTCATAAAATATTGATCACATTTGTCCTCATCGAACTCTTCTTATCGATTATTATATCATTCAGTCATTCCAGTCGGTTTGAAGTTTGAAATTTCGAAATTAATACCAACACCAACTGTGAGAATAACAGGGAAGGCTCTCTCTCTCCCTCTCCTTGTCTCTGTTCCTCTTACGAGCTTTTAGGTTAGGAGACTAAGGCCAAAGGCCCAAATTGCATAAATTCTAAATTGGCTCAAATAAGTCCAAACTTAAGTCTTAAAGGAGAGAAGAGTGTAGTAGCAACTGACTGCGAATGAAATGGTACCACATGGAACTGGAACTAAACAAAACTGAGTTTCTGACTCCTTGCCTTGAGGAAAATCAAAATAAACATCTCAAAACTTTCGAAACCCGGTTAGTGCAGTAGTTCTGCTTCAAAATAAACAGAATTATGGATGAGAATGATGGTCTCATAGATATTTCTGGACCAGTGTGCAGAACTTGTCTCAAGACCAATGCTGATACAAATTTATTTGATCAACATAAACCAACATCATCAGAATATGCATCTATTTTAGAGTCATGTATCTCAATTCAGGTAAGCAGTAGCACTCACTTTGATGATTTTTAAACCAATTATATCACGTAGATTTTTGTCAAATTGAAAGGTCTCCAAAGGGGATGGACTGCCAACTAGGATATGCAGGATTTGCTTAAGAAAACTACTCAACTTCCACAGCTTCAAAATTGCTGTCATAGAAAATGATTTCCTGCTCAGAAAATCAGTGAAGATTGATACCACAGAAGTGGGAATTCCTGATGAACAAATTACTACAGAAAACTCAGAAGTTTTTGATAATATTGAGATAGATCAACATCAGGAGTGTGAACCATCTGAAAATGTTGAAACAGAGATGGGCCCAAATGTTTCTATCCACCTTGGCCCTGATGATCTAACATTTGTCACAGATTCTGATAACTCCTCAGCTGAAGATGAAAAAACCTCAATGAAAGATGAGACTGAGGATGAGACAGATATATCTGAAAAAAACAAAAAAGTCCAGTGTGATGTTTGTGGAAAAACTATGAATAACAAGAGTAAATTGGCAATCCATTATAAAACTCATACAGGAGAGAAACAATATTCTTGTGATGTTTGCAATAAGAAATTCTCCAAGGCAGAACATGTATTGATCCACAAAAGAATACATACAGGTAGTCATTTTTAGTCAAAAAATGAAAACTCAACTGAAGAATTTGAATTCAAATCTTTTCAGGTGAACGTCCACACAAATGTTTGATCTGCAAAAAACGATTCATACAGTATGCTTCCTTGAAAACTCACCTTAAATCACACACAAATGAAAGGTCTCATATTTGCACCATTTGTGGTAAGACTTTTGGCCAGTCTGGAACTTTGGGAACTCATATGAGAATCCATACAGATGAGAGGCCATTTGTGTGTCAGATATGTGGAAAGACATTTAGAAATGGAGGAAATCTGATAACTCATGTCAGGTGAGTACTAGAGTCCCTGTATGTATTTGACACATTTATAACAAAACTGACAAATATATACAGGGAATTATACATACAGGGACTCTAGTGAGTACAACTATATACTATTATTACAATAAGATTCTCCATTGCTTCTTTATATCTAATATCTGATTATGTTTTCCATGGTCCAAACAAGCCCTTGGTTCAAATCTTTTTTTTTCTAATAAGAAAATCATTGTTAAAATATATAACAGAAAACAACTACTTTCCTGGCAAATACCACAGAATATTTGATTATATCTGATACCTATATGTATTGAAAATTATTCATTATTTATTATCTAGAATCAATTGGAATTGAATTGATGAAAACATGTGAGTCCAATATTTCCATTAAACATATTTTCTAAGATAGTTGCATCAATTCAATTCCAATTGTTTCTAGACAATGATCAATAAATGTTATAGATCCAGAAGATATTTTCTCAGAAGTAAGGAGATATATTATTTTTTGATGCACAATAGATATATTCTCTGGTATTTAGCCAGGAAAGTAGTTGTTCAACAATTTACTTATTTCTTAAAAATGATTTTCCCTATTTGAATCTTTTATTTATGATAACTCAAAATACATTTTTGAGTTATGAATAACACTAGAGCATTCTGAATAGTTTCAAATTAATGGTGATAGCTTAAGAAAAAGTAGAAGAAGGTAATGATAATATGGTTCAGTGTGATAGTGCTGAAAAAATCATAAGACATCATTATTGCTTTCTATAGTATATAGAATCTTTTGCAGAAATTAACAGGGACATATGTTCCAGTCATCTGACTAATTAGGATCTTACAAAACAATTTTGCTATTGGATTACAACTGATTTCTTGCTAGATAATCATTTCAAATAAGTGGAATGGACAGGTACAGGGTGATTCACCATAAATGTCCCCCCTCTAGCTCAGTTATTTTTGAACCGATTTTAAAATTTGAAATATCATCTTGAGTGATTTTCGATAAAGTTTTTTTCCGCTAGATCAGAAAATACAGGGTGCTCGGAACAAACGATCTACAGGGTACTATTTGATTTTTTTAAATGAAACACCCTATTTTTCATTGTATTTTTAGATTCTCCCTGAAGAGCTGATTTGATCAATGTATCACACTTGGGGTCTAGCGGGACTGATTGTGATATAGGGTGTTCAAAATCGAGATTTTTAACTTAATGATTGTTTTGTGACCAAATTATTCATTATCGGTCACGCGGTTTTAATGTCCGTATCTTAACTTTTGATTTACTATCTACTGACATTTAATTATTGGAACAGATACAGGGTGACCAGAATTCTGAATTTTGAACCACCCTGTAAATGTTCCAATTGAATTTCACTAGATAGTAAATCAAAAGTTGAGATGGGAACATGAAAGGCGTTTTGACCAATAATGAATAGTTTCGGCACAAAAAAATCCTAAAGTTGGAAAATCTCGATTTTAAACATCCTATATCTCTGTAATCATTCCCGCTAAACCCCAAGTGTGATACATTGATGAAATCAGCTCTTCAGGAAGAATCTAAAAATACAATAAAATACAGGGTGTTCCATTATAAAAAATCAATTAGTACTCTGTAGATCGTTTGTGCCGAGCACCCTGTATTTTCTGATGCAACGGGAAAAAAATTTCTGAAAAATCATTTTAGATTATCTTTCAAATTTTTAAAACGGTTCAAAAATAAGTGAGCTAGAGGGGGGGACATTTATGGTGAATCACCCTGTATAGTGATGTCAGTATACACTGAAAAGTTCACTGATAGTGGGATCACTTCTGAGATTTCATCAAAACTGGCAGTGGAAAACTTGAGAATTTTTATCTCATTATTACTGAGCTGAAGGAATTTAGCAATTATTATCTACTTGCCCTTTGTTGAATTCAGAATGATTGGTATTAATTTGGTTTTCTCATGTGAAAGTAGTGGTTTTCTCATGTGAAAGTACTACTGTGCATGAGCAGAACCCTTCTGGAATGGCCAGAGAACAAAGAATGTTCACTGTTTCATTCCATTTAGGATTATCATTATCTAATTTTGAGTTTGGGCTACAAATATCTCCTTCCTCTTCCTCTTCCAAGGTATGTTACTCCTCTTCCAAGGTGAGTAAGTCAATGTGCATACTGCCATTCTTTTTATAACATCATAACCTATTTTTCTGTGGAAAAATTTAATTGAAGAATTGATTGGTTCAAAATTTTATTTTTTGAGGCATATTATTTTTTTCAAATATCCCCTTTTTCAAGGTACATTGCTCCTCTCCCAAGGTATGTAAGTCAATGTGTATACTTACCGCCATTCCATTTTTATCATCTTAACTAAATGATCTCAACGTATTTTTTCATGAGAAAATTGAATTGAAGAATTGATTGGTTAGATTTTCTATTTTTGGAGATATATTCAATCATTTTCTTCTGGGCTGAGGCATTGATATATTATAGAAAAGATCAGTGGGCTGGTTCCTACTGTCTTAAATTAAGAAAATATCATGTCTTGTATATGTAGTAAAGAAAGTTTGAAACTATATATGCGCATTTTCTTGCACAAAAGTCTGTATAAGAATCAAGATGGCAACTTGAAACAGGAAATTTTCGTGTTTTTCATGTCAAATAGCGGTTATTTTGACTTGCAATATCTTGATTCTTATCTATATATTGTACCAAGAAAAATACATAGTGTCATTATGGGCTTCAGCAAAACGCGTTTTTATGAATTAGGTGTGAGAAAACTCACGAAAACTTCATGGTTTGTGAAGTTTTTACATTTATTATACAGTGTGTTACAATTTGGTCCACCCCACCCATGTACTCTCGTATTCCTAGAACGAGTTTGTGGTAAAACATTTGACAAAACGGAACCTAGCTTCAGAAACCATGACAACCAGGATTCCTGATGATGAAATCGACTGATAACTTTTTTGACGAAAGTTTTTAGTGATTTTGATTAGAAAATATGGCAAAAATAATTTCTATGTAATATTGGTACTTTATTCCAGAGACGATATTTCCATCCGTTTACGAGAAAAACGCAATTGAACAGTTCAAAGTCTCGGAAGGGGATTCCATATACACTTCATTTTACCAAGAGTGTGCTTTGAACGGTCAGATAATTATTGCTTGTGAATTACATCAATTGTCAGTTAATGAATTTAGGTGCAAGTTCATAGTCTATACCTTTTCTATTGAAACGCCCTGAACCTTTTTCCACATCAATATTTTATTGAGGCATATTTGGTCCAATAGCCATACCTTGGTGAAAACAATCCGCCCTTTACCTATGTTACAATAATTATGACTCACCCTGTATAAGTGGAAAAAAAGGAAAAAAACTCGACGGATCAACAGATTCCACGAGCACTTGTACGGCTGCGACCATTGCGACAGGTACTTCATCGCCGTTGTCAGAATAGTATACAGAGAAGTGCACAAAAAACGGCCAGGACTGTTACTTTCGAATTATTCGAGATAGAGTTTTGGAAATTGGTGAGTAGCAAGTATACCAAATTGCTCATTAATTGATGAAACAATTTCTCTTCTAACGCTTCCACTTCCACCGGAAAAGACCCCAACTATTGATTTGGGACAATTCAACGATACCGCGTTTGATAGGGTTTTTTCGAACGATTACAAAGATATTTGCGTTCGAAGTTTCTATATGCTCAATGGGTGTGACTTCGCAATATCAAAACTTCTTTCTCTGTCACACTCATTTAGCATATGGAAACTTAGAACGCGAATATCTGCGTAATCGTTTGAAATAACCCTATCAAAAGTATCAAACCCGGTATCGATGAATTCGTTATGACAATCCCTAACCGATTATGCAATCAAAAATCAAAAGTTGGGGTCGTTTCCAGTGAAACCGGAAGTGATAGAACAAGAATTTTTTCGTCAATCAATGAGCAATTTGGTATTCTAGCTGCACACCAATTTTCAAAACCCTATCTCGAATAATTCAAAAGTTACAGTCCAGGCCTTTTTTTGTGCAGTTCTCTGTATATTATAATCTATGGAAATGTCGCGATTTGGGGTAGGGAAAGTGATAAGGTGATTTACGCATTCAATAAATTGTATTACCGAATCACAGTCGAGCATTTTCTGGGTCGTAATAAATTTGCCATTTATAATTCGAACTTTGAGTCCTACGGACTCGTATTATTTTCGGAACCCGTTGTTATCCATATTGTTGATTAATACGTATACGGTAATTATAAGTGAAAACAAATGGGAAAAAACAGACTGATCCCCAGATTCCACAAAAACGAGCGCTTGTACGGCTGTGACCAGTGCGACAGGCGCTTCATCACCTCCTCGCACCTCAACATCCATGCGCGGCAGCACTCGGGCGAACGGCCCTTTAAGTGCGTGGTATGCGCCAAGACGTTCATGCGCAGCGAGCATCTCAAGGGCCACCTGGTCATCCACAGCGGCCTCAAGCCCTACCAGTGCGACCTGTGTCCGCGCCGGTACCGACAGAAGAGCCATCTAAGAAGGCACGTAAAAAGTGCGCACGAAAAGACAGAATAACTATAAATATTGATCATGACAATTTATAATATATTTAGGTAGATATAGAAAATTGAATTGAGTCGTTATTTCCATGATAACGCTGGTATAGAATCCACTACTTCCATCAACAGAACATCCCACATCCCATGATAGTTCAGCATAATTTCAGTATGATTCTAGTTCCCCACAATCTAAAATCAATAAAATTAGAAGCATGATCACTGATAAGCAATGCGCCTCTAGTGTGATGAATAGAGTTTTTGTAGTCAATGGAGTGTCAAAAGCCTATGCAATGACAGGCTGGAGAATAGGGTATATTGCAGGTAGAAGTGATGTAGTAAAAGCTATCTCTACGCTGCAGTCTCAGAGCACTTCTAACCCAAATTCGATAGCACAAGCAGCAGCAGCAGCAGCATTAAACGGTGACCATAGTTTTTTGAAAGAAAGAACAAAAAACTTTAGGGAAGTAGAGGTGACAGCTATGAGGTTGATTTAGCGATCGGTATTCTTGAGGATATGTATCTTATCGATTTCTTGCTGAGCTTACATGAAGGAAAATCAATTATATAATTCGCTGTCCAAGTTCGTCTTTCAATGAAATAAACACTATCAAGTGTCAGTTTGGAAGCTGTTCAAGTACCAGCTAAGTACGAATAAACTTCCAGTTCTGTGACTTATTTCCTTCCTTCCCTTAAAATATTGTATAACAGTGGTGTTCCTGATTCTTCGTTTGTTCCTGTCTTATACTTTTGAAATTAATAGCGAATTCCATTGGAATGAACTTGGAGTGTTTCTGCACTCAATGTACATGTTTCTTTCTTACTCTCAGTGGAGATACTCCCCACCAGTTCCTGTCAATGTAATTCGATATATCATTTCGTATGCATTCTAGACGGGCGTTTGAAATACACTGACATAATGACATAAACTATACTATCTAGATTGGTGATGCCACGAGAAAGAAGCCATGCCACTAATATGAGATGAACTGTCAAATATGAATCATTCGCGTTCAGGATTCTTCATGTGTTTTACTCATGTTTGCGAGCACTATGACTCGCTGTCATGAACGACAGTTTGGAGGTTTCTGCGCATTGAGCAGAACCGTTTTCAGGCGAGCAATTTGGATGAGATTTTCGGGTTGCTGGGACATGCCATACTTATGGCGATCCAGATAGTAGTTTATGACACTACAAGTGCGTGGTGAGCGCGAAGACGTTTTAGATAGATTGAATTGAGTCGTTATTTCCGTGATAACGCTGGTATGGAATCCCATACTTCCATCAAAAGAACATCCCACATCCCATGAAAGTTCAGCATAATTTCAGTATTATTCTGGTTCCTCACAATCCAAAATCAGTAAAATTACAAGCATCATCAGCAATGCGCCTCTAGTGTCACAGTTTGGAAAGTACGAAACTTCCCTTTCTGTGACATCTTTCGTTACTTTGCTTAAAATATCTTGAAAAAGGGTGTTCCTGATTCTTTGTTTGTTCCTGGTCTACAAAAAATATTTTGAATAGTTTCATAGTAGATATCATGAAGAATTCAAATAAGTGCGAAAATAAAAATTAACATGAAACGCTCCTCATTTGCTTGGAACGTATTCAATTGTTTCGAATACCATTAGGTTTTTACTGAGGTAAAGTTGTGTTTTTCTGATAGGTTATGAACTTGTTCATCACCAGCTAGAGTATGATTAATGATTTACCGGACACCCTGTATATTTTGATGGAGTGAACTGAATCATAGTTATGACTGGAATGCTGTCCATACATTGAAGCAAGCTGTCATTCTCCATGTGTTTACTATAGTTCCGTGGTTGCATTTAGAGTCCTAGCTATCAACATGAAAAAATTTCAAATATGTATATTGCTTTTTAAAAAAGTCATACAGTATATGTATTTATTCCACAAATTTTCCATAAATAATTGAAACAATATTAAATAAATAATGCCATTTTGTAAGCTAAAGTGAAAATTAAGAAAATAATTATTCTGAAATCTCAATAATTCATGAAAATTACATTGACCAAATTATTATCAGTAGCTAATTTCGAATTTTTCATGACAGATAAAAAGTATCATCAGAAAAACAGTTTCCATAACTCTTCAAATCACTAAAATTGTCTTTAGAATTGATCCTAGCTAGCCAATCTCACACTAATTTCACAGTTCCGTGTGTTTTGGCTTGAGCTCTTCTATCCTCTGCAAGTACTCGCTCTTCTCTATGCACCCTTCACACTCCTCTCCCCAATCGTTGAGGATCTTCTTGAGGTCCCTCACTTTCAGTTTCTTGAGGTCCACAGTTTTCAAGTCGATTTGCACGTCGTAGCGCAACTCGCAGATTTGCACGTCCTTTTTCTTCAGTTTTTCGCAGATTTTTTCCGAGGGCATTGACCAGGACATGGGTTTGGACATTTCGCCCAATATCCCTGTGGCGCTCTCTTCTAGGCCTCCGAGGTAATAGCACTGAAATCCATAATTTTCCATTCAAAGTCTGTAATGCATCTAATATACAGGGTGATTCATCAAAAATGGAAAATCGTAAACACTGAAATATTGAGATTTAAGAGTGACTTTATTAGTATATTACGTAATATCTGTTGTAAGAAGCATGTTACGCACGAATGGAAATAGTACACACACTGGCACAATTAGGGGAATGGCCAACATTTACACTAAGTTTTACATCAATTTTCTTCCGAACCGATCGCTCGATTCAAAATTTGTTCTTCACGAAATGTAGCTTCATTCTTCACGAATACATCTGAGAAATAATTATCTCCAAACGATGAGTCTTTCCATCATATACAGGGGTGTAAAGAAAGTACGGATTTTTCGGTATTTTTTTACACATCCTGTGGACTGAACCACTGATAATTGAAACGATTTCTCAACACCAAATTGGAGCCCAATCTATTCCGAATATTTTCGTTTTTTATTCATCTTGATATCTCAATTATTCAAGAAAATACAGAGTTTCAAAGAAAAGGTGGATATTGGTATCAATTTTACACCTCAAAACTCAAATTGGATCTGCAAATGTGTCGTTTCTTGACTAACCTAACCTAACTATGACTAAACCTCTGCCATAGGAGACAGAAGCAGTAAAATCAAATTGTTCATTTTGTTCACCTCGGCGATATAGTCTTTCCCTGCCATCTATTGAATTGGTGCAGATGCGGCTCTCATATGTTAAAAGAACATTGGCCCACTGGTCATTTTCAATTAATGCTACAGCCCTCGCCACATCATTAGGAGTCAAATCTCTCACGTTGAATTTTCATTAATCAAATTTATGAATTGTGAATCGCTTGACTTTGACAATAATCAATGACATTAACAAAATAGCCAACGTTGATTAACAAAAATTGCATTTCACCAAAAGAACATTGGAGCAACTTTTATCACCCCTGCATATTCATGAGAGTATTCGTATATGTGTCTTTAAACAGTAAACCGATAGGTAAAACGGTGAACAATTCTCATCTTGAAGTAAAAATCCTCACAGAAACAAGTTGAAAAACGACACGTTCTCCCCAGTTCGAGTTTCGAGGTGGTAAAATTAATACCAATATCCACCTCTTCTTTGAAACTCTATATTTTCTTGGATAATTGGGATATCAAGATGAATGAAAAACGAAAATATTCGGAATAGATTGGGCTCCAATTTGGTGTTGAGAAATCGTTTCAATTATCAGTGGTTCACTCCACAGGATGTCAGAATACCGAAAAATCCGTACTTTCTTTACACCCCTGTATATGATATAAAGACGAATCGTTTAGAGGTGGTTATTTCTCAGATTTATTCGTGAAGAATAGAGCTACAATTCGTGAAAAACAAATTTGAATCGAGTGATCGGTTCGAGAGAAAATTGATGTCAAACTTAGTGTAAATTTTACCCGTTCCCCTAATTGTGCCAGTGTGTGTATATTGTGCAACAAGTAGGAAAAGTTAAACTTTTCTCACGAGTGTGGAAGTTTGTGGCACGAGCCTGAAGGGCGAGTGATGCAAACACACTAGTGAGAAAAGTACTTTTCCTCACATGTTCCACACTATATTTTTTCTACAACTGCACTTATCCAAAGGATCCAAGCATATATCTACTACTAATACAGCGTGTCTCACTCTAAACGCCCCCCTTTATATCTCAGTTATTATTCATGCGATTCCAACCAAATTTGGTGTGGTATGAATAACCATCAATATGATTAGTTTTACAGAGATGCACATTATTTTGGACAGTGCCGTGCAGTGACGGCTCGTGGCCTCAGAAACTGGGTCGGCCAGGGTATAGATATTGCTCTAAAATGCGAACGTAACACGTTGGGTCAGCGGCTTGAGTGAAGTTCGATGGCAAATAAGCATGTACAGGGTGATTCACCATAATTGTCCCCCCCCTCTAGCTCACTTTATTTTTGACCCGATTTAAAAATTTCAAGGATGATCTAAAATGATTTCTCAGAATTTTTTTTCCCGTTTCATCAGGAAATACAGGGTGCTCGGAACAAATGATCTACAGAGTACTTACTACTCGATTTTTCCAAATGGAACACCCTGTATTTCATTTCATTTTTAGATTCTTCCTGAAGAGCTGATTTCATCAATGCATCACACTTGGGGTCTAGCGGGAATGATAACAGAGATATAGGGTGTTCAAAATCGAGATTTTTCAAGTTTAGGATTTTTTTGTCTAATTATTGGTCGAAACGGCTCCTATGTTTCCATCTTAATTTTTGATTAACTGTCTATTGAGATTTGATTGGAACATTTACAGGGTGGTTCAATATTCAGAATTCTGATCACCCTGTATCTGTTCCAATTATTAAATGTCAGTAGATAGTAAATCAAAAGTTGAGATATGGACATGAAAGCCGTTTTGACCGATGATGAATAGTTTCGTCTCAAAAAAATCCTAAAGTTGAAAAATCTCGATTTTGAACACCCTATATCTCTGTAATCATTCCCGATAGACCCCAAGTGTGATACATTGAGCAAATCAGCTTTTCAGGGAGAATCTAAAAATACAATGAAAAATAGGGTGTTCCATATAAAAAAATCAAATGGTACCCTGTAGATCGTTTGTTCTGAGCACCCTGTATTTTCTGATGAAGCGGAAAAAAACTCAATCAAAAATCATTCAAGATGATATTTCAAATTTTGAAATCGGTTTAAAAATAACTGAGCTAGAGGGGGGGACATTTATGGTGAACCACCCTGTACACATAACCAAAAAATTAAATTGTCCAGCAAGAACCACGCGGTTAGAGCATTCTCGCCAGGGAAAATGGGGAAAGGAAAAGGAGGTGGATATAAGGGTTAGTTGGTATGAAAAAATAATAACAAGAAAGTCGAAAAAATAAAATGAAAGAAAATAAAAATAAAATAACTCGTGAACAAAAAATATTTATATTCTGTTGAAAACGTAACGTAAACTCAAAAAAATCAACATAACCGACAACCACTCACCTAACGCGAGAAGCACAACAATCCAACAATGACTAAATCCGCAAATCGGTGAATCGGTCTACGCTCTACGCCGTTCCTGTAACAAGCCACCCCACTCCTTCGTAGTCGGCTGGCCGAGCCCGCCGTGCAAGCGTAATATATCAATCAACGGCCGTAGGTATAATCAGGAGTGTGTAATCTCGGGTATAATGTTTCCAGCGATGGATGCATAAATATTATTTATAACCGCTACATGCGTCTTTGAAAATAAATGATATTCTGGAAGTTATACATTTATTACATTTTCGTCACCAGAGCTTTTTTACGATGTTTCAATACCTACTCAGCTCATGGACTGCTGACATTTTTCTTGCCATATTACCTACATAGGCAGAGGCACACAGTAGGTTACATCACAATATTCAAATTGAATTATAACTTATTGACGCTCAGAGGCACTGAAGGAAAATTCTGATACCAATATTAGATGGATATGTTGAATTATGAATCACTGAAAAATTGCAAATTCAAAAATCACCAGTCATTTTTACTGCAACTACTGCAAGCGTGAACAAAAACATCGAAATTTTTTTTTTTTTCAGTTTGTACATTTCAAATTTCAACATCAACTTACAAATAAGTATAGGAATAAAAATTATAAATACCTACAATGTAAAATGAAAATAGAATGTCAATCATGTCAATCCGTATATTAAAAATTAGGTCGGAATGGTCGGATATGGTGCACAGCGAGCGCACTGCAAACTACTGATTACGTACGTACGGATGGCCGTCGGCCAGCAGAGCTTGGCCGCACCCAGGGTATGACGCGTATCGTTCGCTTATACGCGAGAATTCAAACTTGAAGCGGGGAATCTGTAGGCGATGCGTCGAGACAAGAAACCACCGATCGGCCGGCCGTCTGCATCAGTGTAATGAGCTACGCGAGCGTTTCAACTTGAAGCGGCGTTTTGACGATGTGATTACCAGATGTCGTAGGTCCTGAATTAGTTCGTGATTTTCGGAGTATATGCGGATGGCATACTCAAAGGTTCCAGTGAATGAAATTGAAATAATAGTGGCATAACAGTAGGATAATGAACGATGAATTATGAAAACAGTTTCGGAAAATAATTGTATTCATCAAATAGTTCAGTAATTGTCCCCAAATTATTTGGTACGGCCCGGCCGACCCTGCCGTCCCTGACGAGCCGTCACTGGTGCCGTGCGTTTTTTATTGAACTAAAAAGGGGTCGATTTTTTATAAAATCATATTAGGCATATTTTTACAGGAAATCTAACCTCATATTATTGTTCCTCATGCTTTCGTACCCCCATATGCAAAAAATCACCTAATTCCGAATCAATAACAGGATTGGCTTCATTTTTTTATTTTCAGTCTCGAATAAATAGTGTTCAAATCAACAACGAATTTTGGAATGTTCAATGGCTCCGGTAGGTGGATAATCGTGATTTGGAAAGAAAAACGAATTATATTTTTTTATGTTGAACTCACCGATTCCGAGTAGAAAATAATTATTACATTCGCAAAAATGCTGTTTAGATGTGCCTGTTTTTCTGAAACCCTTCATAGGCATCTCATGTAAATACACATATGTGGGTTTGAAACCATGAAGAACAATATTATCAGGTCAGCTTTCATGTTAAAAAATGCCTAATATGATTTAATAAAAAACTGACCCCTATTGATTTCAATAAAAATGCACAGCACTGTCTAAAATGATGTTTGTCTTTGAAGAACTAGTGATATTAATGATTATTCATACCGATACAAACTTGGTGAAGATCGCACGACTGATAGCTGAGATATAGAAGTATATAGAGATATGATATATATATATCATCGCTGTCCTCAAAGCGGGTCTCTATAGGTAACGAAAATCGACCAATATAGGCGTTGATGCCGACGTAGGGAAAAAGTAATACGACAATATAGCTACTTATTTCAAATTTTCCATCCTTCACTTTCCGTCCTTATAGATTCAGGAAGTACCTCTCATTCCATCTCATTTTGGTCTCATTTTTATTGAGATATCATATAGGCGATGAGCCATATATAGAAATAGTACATATTATATGAATCCAAGTAATGTAACTTATTGGTATTCATTTTATAATGTGGCACTATGCCACATTGAATATTGTGACCAAAGAGTAGACGCCTTTCCTAGTTCCTCAAAGTATTTAAAAAAAGTACACTTTCCGAAAAAGATTTTATTTCTGTATTTTTTCTAGATTCCATGAAATTTTTGTATATTATGCCAATTCATACTTTTTTTTTTAATTTCCTGAAACGAATCCAATTTTCGCAGCTTTTTCCATTATCTCTGTCTCTGGCGGTGTATTTATCAAAATCGTCACATCTCGGTATAAACATCATATTATTTATTATGAATTGTTGGAATAATATTTGATGGAAACTGCGATTTCTATCAAAAGAACTAATGAGAACTACCTTAAAGAATTTAAAATACTTCTTCTGACAGTTGTGACAACTATTCAGAGCTGAACACCAGCCAATTAAGTTTTGGTCGATTTTTGTTGATTCTCCATGGAAATGTATGTGGTGTTGGCGAAGTGCCGTGAGAAAAAATATTCCTAACAGCAATACATGGTATTAATTAATTATTGAAATGCGCTACTTTTCATAGCAGTAGTAGAAAAAGTTATTTGCGTAATTCCATGAGTGCGTAATTGCTTTACAACACGCATTACTGCCATATAGTACATCAAAAAAGTTTGGACAGTCAGAATTATAATTCTTGACAGTTCTCATCCGCTGTTGACGGCGATGACGCGATCTATACTGGCGGAATAAACGAAAACTGTGCGATGTGCTTACTGTTCGTAAAGAGCTACTTACTGAGGCTGTATCTCGTGTGTTCTTGCCTACTTTCTATAGTGGCCGTAGGTAAAAAACTTCTAGCATTTTAGATTTAACATTTAAACATTTAAGACTTAGGAGTCTCAAGTGGATTCAGTTATAAAACAAATCAAGATTCTAGGGCGATGCTTGTCTTCTGTCATTACTGACATCAAGTTTCTGATACAGAACCGGATTTTCAAAGTTCAATAAGTTATAAACTGGTTGGAAATCAAAATTTCATGTTCTGATATCATTCTATTAATTTATATTTTTATATTTATAAAAGAAATAATGTAATTGACCAAAGTAACAGAGTGCCATTAGCGCCCTCTATGAGCAATCACAAAATAACTTGAAAATTCCTATTCCTCATGTCAGAAAACCTGAATATACAAGATTTCATGTTCATGCCGTAAAAACTTACAAAGTTATAGAGAAATTTTAGAATAAAATCCCCCCCCCAGATCACCCTGTATCTTCGAAACCAGCAACATTCTTATCAGGTATGTTAGGCTTAATCTCAATATTTTAGTGTTTTCTATCTGTAGTTCAGAGATTACCTATTCTTGATGAATCACCCTGTATAAAATTCTCCTGTCATGGTGTTTGTTGCCAAACTCCTCCGAAACAGCTTGACCGATTTGTATGAAAATTTTTGAAAATATTTGGTAGGTCTAAGAATCGGTCGTAATCTATTTTTTAAATTGAAAAGTCAAGATGGCGGACGAGTTTTGTATTTAAATTGGATCCGATTCTACTCAAAATTGGTATCTGGAGATATCTGGACAGAGCCTCAAAGTCTTTTCGGTAACTTGCATTGTTTTGGCAATTTTGGAGTTCTCTTGATTGAGATCTCTTGATCATTTTCATTGCTTGCTGCCATAAAGGGTTGAAACATATTCATTGTCGAATTTCAGCGTGAGTTAGGCAAAGTTGAATTCTCAGGGGGGTAAGTGCCCCCCTTGTCCCCTTGTTACCGGCTCCTATGTTTACCAATGTTTACCAAACAGTAACTCATGAGAAGATGAGGCTAAATGGCATAATGGGATTCCTGTTTTTTTTTTCATTTTATTCCTAGATAAATATGCCTTCTATCAATTCAAACCAATGAACTCAAAATAAATTATAAACACTATTGAGTTCATTTCTTCAAATAGGTTTTTTTATCAAATTAGAAGAAGAAAATAAAATGGCCGTTGATTCACAGAAATTTAAGTTTGTGATTATGCTCATATTATGTGATTAACTAACAAAAAAATAGCAAATTCCTGATGGTTTTTGTATTATCAATGAGAGAATAAGCATTTGAGTGATAAAAAAAGATTGGCAAGTGATAGTATACCAAAGTGGTGCCACTGAGAAGTGATCAAATTTTGAACTGTATGTCAGAGTGGTCTGTTCAAATTTTCATCATCAGAATAGTGTTTCCCAGGTGAAAATCAGTGAGTACATATTATAAAATACTCTTTCCTCTTTTCTGGAATTTCAGGACATTCCTGGTTGTTATAGAAATTGATCTAGTTAATTTTTGCTCTGAAGTCCACTAGAATTCCTAGTCATCCTCCTGACTAACAAGACATTCTTTGGATTTTACTGAAGATGCTAAAAACTTCTTAGAATTCTTGTGAATTTCCCCTACAATTCCTTGAGTAATTTTAGTGAAAAATGATTATGGTTGACTTCTTTTTATGAATTTGAATCCATAAAATGTTCTAGGTTATTTTCAATTCATCATTTTTGTATGGAATTTTTAGGTGTCTTCAGAATTCCTTTGATATATTAAGAGTTGTTGATGTGAAAACATTGTATCAAAATCAAAGCATATCAAAATCAAATTTTGATTTATTGAAACCAATATTGAAACTTCTTGGAATTATTTGAAATTTCCTCAATCATTTGTATTGGAAATTATTTTCAAATCCTTGAATTGCTTCCATTCCATTGAACCAACTGAAGTGTTTTAAAGCTACTTACAAATCTGTTCTCCTTATTCTTTGTACTCTTACAAAACACTTTGAATTCTGCTTCTATTTTTTTGGGATCTTTTCTATCTTTATCTGAGAGGGTTGCAGCAAACTTGTCCAGAGTCTTGATGCAAACTGAAAGTGACAAAAAGGGTTCAATATTACAAATGTATTGTCCAATATTAATGACTTAAAATATTGTTTTTCCTATTACCTTCACAGTCTCCTGGTTTCAAACTGTTTACAGCAATCACTGAGGCGAATAACACAGCTATAAGTAGTTGGAGTTCCATTTTATAGGATCTTTGGTATCTGAAACAAACTGGATCTGAACCCTAATAGAGGTTATACACCCTGTTATCAAATTAGTTCAATGAAAAATGAGAATGTATGATTTATATTCCTGTTTCACAAAGTTAATGCATCCTTACCTGATATTTTTACTGGCTGAAAAGGAACAATTTGATGAAAAAAACCGTATTTATTTGGTACACGTTGACATAAAAATTCCCTGCCGTGAAAAATTAAATATGTATATAGTATATATATATATATCAGATCTGTCACTGTCAGTTGCCCCTCTGTCACCATACCACTACGAAATCGTCTACTTCGCGCATGATGTCACTCACAGGGTCGTGGGTTATTGGCGGGAACGAATTTACTAGTGGTTTACAGAATACAGAGCATTTAATATAATAATCACATGATCATACTGTATTCCTTCGTCTGGGCATTTCTAAAATGTTATTGTACTTATTGGTTCATTGTAATCTGTGATAACGAAGTAAACGATGAAAGAAAACCCAGCCGTTCGAAATTTCCATTGAGAACTCCAAATCGTGCAATCACAGTGACGTCATATGGTGAGACAGAGCTAACATGCGCATCGACATCTAACGTGTCAAGTAGGTCACAGAATGATTTCTGCATCTTGTGTCGCATAGCCATTGGTCCACGTTGAAAGACGTGGTGCCACGTGATAGGTTGTCGAATCCTCATTGGTGTATGACGGGTTGTGTACTTAGTAGTGAAATACGAAGAAGATTCGATGGCAATGTACTGTACAAATTGCCGGACAGCCATCGGAGCTGAATCACCAAGAATTTGGTGGATGTTCAACTATGGCAAAGAGACCAAGAAACGTAGAAGAAGAAAAGAGACTGTAAATTTTGCCGGATAGACCTAATGGCTGTGGCCTGTTATCGGGAAGAAATGATAGGATATGTGAACAAATAGAAAACCTCAAGTTATGGAAAGACTTGAACAGACTATTAAGTTTTTTACTCTCAATGTGGAACTTTACGACCAATTCTTACAACTTAGAAGAAGTTTATTTTCTGATCCAAAGTTTCAGTAGCGCGATCTGGTGGAAAATTAACAATGTTTGCTCTCGCCCCTCATTTTTCATTGGGTTTGTACGAAAGCTTAGAATGGCACCAAAAATAAAAAATGCAATTTACTGCAACCCTCATCTTGTTGTAATTCTTGCAGTAATTCGAATTACTACAACTTACAGTAATTTGAATTACTGCGCAGCTTACATCTTGCATTATTTTCAATTTCTGCAACTTATAAGTTGCAGTAATTCGAATTTTTGCTACAGATAAGTTATTACAGTAATTCGAATCTCTGCAACATACAACTTGCATCGTATGTATCGATCAAATGTTTAATTTTCGAGTGAAATAGATTTTAAAATGTTGTTATGACATATCGCACATATTATGCATAACATTGCAATAAATCGTGGTGGGATATGGAAAAGAATGCACAAAAATAACTGAAGTATTTTGTATCATTTTTTTATTTGAATTGATATATGGAACAAAAGCACTTTTTTCTGTAAAAAAGTCTGGATTTTCATAATCAGAGATTGAATTGTCGAAAAATATGCATACAATAAAGTTTGAGCAATATTTATTAATGTAGTCGCTCATCCTGTATTATACACTCCTGAATGAAATTTTGGAATAATTTTATTTTCACTGCGTTGGGCATGGAGAGGTTTGTTCTTGTACCAAATTGCATCATTTTATCACATGGCGTTTCGGAAATATTCAAGAAATATCATCTTCAGGAGCCTTCGATCTATATCAGGGGACCGCAGCTCATTTAGGAGACATTTATCGACTCATGTTCATTGAAGTTTTTCCTCCTATTTTTGGTCGTAGAAGGCGCTGGTAAAGTTTATGACTATAATATACAGATGTGTATCGTAACTTGTTCGTTAGAAGTTTTCGATGCTAGAGCCAGAGAAGGGTGTGCAGCACTTTCGGTTTTCATTTTAAATAGAACACCCTTAATTATATGGTCTTATAGTAATTCTCAGCAGTTTTCGAGTAATCACAAATTTTGTGGATTATTTTTTTCACATGTCAAAATGTGACGTTTTCGTTGTTTCAACAAGGTGGATATATGTATGGTGAAATAGCTCCCTCTTACAAAACCCTAGAAATTTTTGTAGACCTCTGCCTACTTGATTATGTCGAATTCCATCACCGTAGTAAGGCCGCGCAAAACTAACGCTAGATGGCGCTGTTCCCGAAGTGATCTTGCTACACAATGGTTGTTTTGTTTTGTTGTTTACATTTACGTATATTAATTCGTAATTTAAAAACATTGAAAAATCGTGATTGATTTAATGAAAGAGACATGAAATTTTCATTATATCTGAGAAGTATAAGTGGCAAGATGTTCCCTACGCCACCTACAGTCAATCCGGTGCGGCCTTGCTACGGTGTTTCGCGGTCTACACGTTTTGGAAAAAAACAATTGACAAGTGGTTACACCAGTCTATTTTCATCATGGTTTCAACCAATATATATCAATGCGTAATTCTAGCCAATCATTCGGTATCATACTGTGAATTTGTTAGTAGCAAATTACAGAGATAATTCTTTCATACAAAACTAAATGAATAAGTAATTCAATCATTATAATAGTGATATTTTAAATGTATTTTGACAGTTTGGATCCTTTTGCGTATTGCGCAGAAGCATTTTCATGATCTCGTGTGTTCTATTCTTTCTCGTTTATCAGGATCAGGAATCAGGACATTTACCAGCTTTCAGTAGTACCTTTGAGTATTTACACTGTAGTACAATACAATACGATTTGAGTTGGATTTTGGTACTGCATACAGCATATTATGCTGTATATGTTGCTAATAATAATCATTTTATATTATGTTCCATTTCAAAACTAAACCAGACCATACATCAAAAAGATTGCGTCGTAGAGTCAAGCAACATTTTTCTGTAATTTTATAGTTCATGGCTACGACAATAACAATTATGGGATCCTTTCGATGATGACAATAAAATGTATGAGATAATCTTCAAGATCAATTTTATATTTGAAAGTATATGTATATATTCAGACAGGTAACACGATACCTCATCATCAAAACAGTTAATTGCTCAAAGATACCTTTATTGTGAATGTAAGCATAGCTAGGCTAGATATAGGAGGTATTTCTATATTGACCTCTTGACATTGTTCACCTTGTACCTAGATTTTTCCATTCTTCGTTCAGATTATTGGTGACCTGAATATTTCAGTCAATCATGCCATGTCATGCCTGTTAATCGAATATATCTCGGAATATTCAACACGCAAATTATGAAGATACATCAGGCGTGTCTTGGAGCGCACGAAAGGAAATCCCTATACTGTTCGAAGAACATCGTGCGTACCTAGTGAGCTAATTTCTTGTAGAAAATACGTTTTGTAGGACGATTGAGTTACAGTTGAAATTAAATTTTGAAGTGGAATTGAAGTTTGCATGAATAAATTTCCTTTTTTTAAGTTCAAGTTCATTTCGCTCATAAAAATGAACCAGTGCTCTTGAAGACATGCATCAAAAGTCAAATTGTAGAAAAGAAATGGTTCCTGACAAAAACTGGTAGTTTTGGTAGGGTGTTTTGAAATTAGGGTTATAAAACAACCTTTCAATTAACCCTGTATAATGACTAATTTGTCAGCATTTACCAAAAAACTTCATATACAAGTTAAAATTAGTCATATTATCTACAGTTTGTTGAAAAAATTATGAAAATCGAATAGAAAATTAAATCTATTTTTCATGGATGAAGGCCCTTGAAGGAACAAACGCGGTAGAGGTGTGGTTTATAAGAAAGAAACTAAAAAAACATACAGCTACAATTTTTTCCATTTTTTTCTCGGGAAGCTTTGTTCTGATCCACACTGTATATGTGGCGACAGTCGCGACTATTAGCCATACAAATTGCAAATTTGTAAGTGATAGATGAATCGGGAACTTTGCAAAAAAATAACATCAACATCCATATATATGCGATTTTGTGGTTTTACCAAAACACCTATGTTGATGCGACGTTCACATTTTCAATGTAGGTAGGTATAATTTATGATGTTATCGAAATGAATATCAGCAGTATATTAGGTAATGAAATGGCGCCGTCTTGATTAATATATTATGATTTTTTTGTATCTTCTTCAACACGATGTTCATTGAACCAAAACCGTTGTCTGAACCATAAAATAAGTACCTAGGTATAAATAGCATAAATAGGTATCATAATAAATTATGAACATAAAAAAAATATGTGTATATAACAATAACAATAATATCATTTTTGAATTCCAATGATATCATACGTTCCTTCATATTCCGAACGTACTTCTAATCAAAACTTTCGAATTCAAAATTCAAATGGAGTTACACCGAGAGTTACCTACACGTTTCACAATATACAAATCAATTAATTCATGATGACAAAAGTGTCAATATGCCGTCAATATTTGTCCATGGCATACTATACCTTTGTAACGCTTAATGATTTGGATCGAGAATGCGTTCGTTGATAAAATCATATATATACAGGGTGTTTCAAAAAAACTAACCCCCTTGCTAGAGTAGGTAGAACATTGCAAAATAAGTTGGGTTTGCTCAGTGAAAAAAAGTCGTAACGGCATCCGTTTCCATGATACAAGGTGTTGAAAAAATTATTTTTTTACACATTTTCCACGATTATTCCGAAACTACTGGCAACATTGTAATGAACTTTTGTATGGATGTTTCTTGAAATCTGACACATCGCATGAATTTGTATTTACATCTGACTCTCATAGAGGGCGCTAGTTACACGGTTCGTACCGAGTAGTTTTGAACATAACTTTTTGAACTGTAATTCAAAATCCAATTTTCATACAAAATAATAATTTTCTTCAAAGTTGAACGTCATTAGAAGCAAATTAGGTGAACTATTGATAAATTTACCGCAGCTGATGATCAAGAAGATCAAGAAGA